GCTCCAGGGGATCCAATGCCCTCCTCTGGACTTTGTGGGCACTATACTTACATGTGCATATACACGGACACATATGCATAGAAATAATGTTTTAAAAATCACAGGTAAGCAAGGTGATGGATATGCTAATTGGCTTGAATTAACCATGACACACTATAAACAGATATCCAATCATCACATATAGGTACATTTGTCAAAAAAAAGTTAGAATTTTAAAGACATAAACTATGCTTTGGAGATGAGATTGAAATGTGTTATTATCTAACTCTATCATCATCTAATTCTCGCCCTTCTGTTAATGATGAAGGAGAGTTTGCCGGGCAGAGCACTATCTTGTCTGTATGCTTGTGATGGGAATGGACGGTACCACAAAAGGCATCAAACACAAGTGTCCAAGGGGAAATGCCCACCCCCTTCTCTTTGGCCTTGCTTTCTGGAGGTGAAATGCTAGAATGCTCCCCCAAAGATCAGGGTCCTAACTCCTACTCCTTCTGAATTTTTCCTCCATAACAATCAAGGCTGGAATCTGGTTTTTATTAGCATACAATGTACTAGTTTCATTGCGGTATTTTTCAAGCAAACTTTGTTTTGCTTTTGCTGTTTCTCCTCCCCTCCCCTCCCCTCCTCCCTCACACTCTCCCACCCCCTCGTCCTCCCATCGGCAGTTGCCTCCTGTCTGTGTCCTTATGCCCTCCTATCTTTCCTTGATAACATACTCCCCTCATGAGCTCCTACCTGGTTTCTCCTATTCAGTTTCAGTTTGTTTTTATGCTCGCTCCCTTTATTTACCTACTACAAATATTGAAAGTTAGGATCGATGGTGGTTTTGGTTTCTAGTTAGTGGCATTCTTTGGAGGGATTTGCATGATGTGGCCTTGCTACAGGAAGCTTGTCACTGGAGGCAGGCTTTGAAATGAAAAGCATTATGCCCCTTGCAGGTTTTTGTCGTAGTTCTTGTCATTTCTTCCTCTGTTTTGTGCCTGCAGTAAAGGATGTGAGTTCCTAGCTTCCTGCTCTGGACAGGCTTGCTGCCATGCCTCGCCACCAGGATGGACTCTTATCCCTTGGGAGACATAAGCCAAAACTCTCTCTTCCTTAAATTGCTTCAGTCATGGCCTTTATCACGGCAACAGAAAGGTAACTGACCCAGGATCCACATATGAGAATGTGTGATTTTTGCCTTTCTGACTCTAGGTCACTTCACTTAATATAATACTTCCCAGTTCCATCCATCTCCCGCAAATTTCATTTTTAACAGCTGAGTAATATACCATTTATTATATATGCCACATTTTCATTATCCACTCATCTATTGATTGACATCTAGGCTGGTTCCATTTCCTGGATATTACAAATATAGCAGCAATAAGGATGGAGCTACAGACATCTCTGTGGTAGGATATAAAGTACTCTGGGTTTTTAATATCCAGATCATTCCATAGTTCTATTTTAAATTTTTTTGAGAAACACTTCCACACTCCTCCCAGCAGTGATTCAGGTTTCCCCATCTTTACATTCTTGCCAGCATTTGTCATCATTCATTTTCTTGATGTGAACCATTCTGACTGGGGTGAGATGGAACTATCAAAGTAGTCTTAATTTGCATTTTCCTGATGGCTAAGGATGTTGAGGGCTTTTAAAAATACTTCTTGCCTAGTTCTGTTTCCTGTTTGGTAACTGTTCATTTCATTATCCTATTTCTCAGTGGGCTATTTCATTTTTTTATTGTTTAATTCATTCAGTTCTTTATATACTGTAGACATTAACCTGTCTGAAGTACAGCAAAAGTTTCCTCCCATTCCCTGGGTTGTATGTTTTCTCTGATGATAGTTTTCTTTGCTGTAGAGAAACACTTTAATCTCATGTCACTCTATTTGTTGATTCTTGGGCCAATTTCCTGTGCCACTGGGGTCTTGTCCAGAGCATTCTTGACTGTGCCTGTGATTTCAAATGCATTCCCTATGTTTTCCTCTAGCAGTTTCACATTTTAAACCAAGGACTCTGATGCACTTTGAACTGCTGTTTCTCTGGGATGACAGCTGTTGGTGTAATTTCATTCTTGCGTGGGGCATACCCAGTTCTGCCAGGACCATTTGTTAAGCAGTCTTTCTTCCACCGTATGCTTTTGATGCCTTTGTATGGGTGAAATCTTAAGAATCACTCTGGACACTTTCTCAGCCCCACACCATTCAGTCTCATCAACGTGACTTCACCCCAGCCTCCACCTATGCCCAGAGACATCATTGGGTTATTGTTGTCCAGACTTGTGCCTTGACTGTCATGTCTTCTCAGTTTCACATCTCTGCTCTGTCTTTTACTTAGGCAGCAAAAGGCCAAAGCTGACTTTTCCCCATGATAAAAATCTCTCCCATTTTCCTCAAGACAGCTGAAAATCCTTAAGCTCAATTAAAGCTTTTCTTTCTCCTCATATATGTAGAGACCAGAGAACAACTTGTAGGAGGAACTTTTCTCCTTCCCACTAAAGTCAGACTTGGTGGCAAGTGTCTTTATCCACCAAGCCATCTCACTGCCCTTTGCATTTTTTTAACCTTTCAATTTAATGGGGAGTGGGGTATCCAGTTACTTTTCAAATTGTATATTTCTTCCCTGGTGTATCTGGTTACCACTAAAGTTAATATTTTTGTCATTTTGTCTTTCCCCCCTTTTTTCTGAGGTTTCCCACCAGAGTATTGGTGAAGATGTGTGTGTGTGTGTGTGTGTGTGTGTGTGTGTGTGTGTACAGGCTGAACACCACTTTATGCACACACTGATATACTGAACCACACATGTGCATTAATAATGTAATTCTTATGACCTTTCTTCATTGTATATGCTACAAACGTTTTCTTATATCTGCTTTTACTTCATATGCTTTTTATGCAGAATGTCTTTTTGTTAATTCTTTGCAAATTTCATATGATGCATCTTGGTAATATGCACTTTCCTTCTCTAACTCCTCCCAGATCATCATCCTCACTTTTGTCTAAGCCCATGACCCAGTTGTGTTGCCCATGAACTCCTGGATGTTGGGCCATTCCCTGCAGCATGCTCTGCCTACCAGGGCCATCCCTTAAAGAAACTAGCACTCCCCATCCCAGCAGCTATCAGCTGCCAACAGCTCCTCAGCTAGGGTAGGGCTTTGCGCCTACCTACCCTGTCCATGCTGGAGTTTGGACTGGTTTGAGCTTGCCTAAGTCTTGTTTATGCTGTCACAACCACTGCAAGTTCATCCAACTGCCTGTCTGTGTCTGGAAAAGCCTGTTTCTCCCACTGCCTCTGGCATCCCTCTTCTGCATTGATCCATTTTGACATAATTAGGGGATACATGTTCTCTTTATGGTTCCTCCCTTTGATCATATGCTTGGATTTCCCTAGCCTGCTGCATTTGTTTTGGAGAACTTTCCACTCCAATGTGTCTCAAGTCGTGGGGAGAGCTACAAGGAGGAATGATATAAGTCCAAGAAAATTCTACTTCCGGGAGGAAGTCATTAAACAGGTTTGTTCCAAATAAACCCCTAGTGTATTAATAAAAGAAATACACAGAACGTGAAGAAAATGTCACCAGATTTCCTGGAAGAGCAAGCCAGTGTTCACCCACTTTATTGCCTTTGGAGCCTTCAGGCAGAGTAAGAGAACACAGTAACCAACGTCATCCACAGCCTCCAGGGTGTCGCTGACCTCCACTGCTCACAGTTTTGAATATGACTAATGGCTAACCAAAGAGAATCCCGTTGCTCTGTCTGCTGCTCTAAGTATACCCATCCCAGCAAGGTCAAGGCCAGTTAGAGCCCTTTTCACTAGGTGTTCTCGTGGGAAATCTCAAATATACAAAAAGCAGAAAGAATTTTTTTGTGCAATAAACCTTGTCCTCCCTGATGATCTTTTCCAAATTTAAGAATTGCTCCAGCCACTCTTAGCCCCTGCCACCCCTGTCCCACCTAGACATCCTGAGGCAGACACCAAGCCTCCCATCTGTAAACATTTCAGGATGTTCCTTTAGGGATGCCACCCCTGGGAAGTCTGATGGCCGCTACTTAAACTTCCAGCCTCTTCCTATTTTCCAGGCGACAGTATTGCTTGGTCCTCATGTTCACCTCTGTGTTTGCCATGCCGCTCTCATGTGGCTGCCTGAGAAACTGTTCTCCCTGAAGACAAGGCCTTCCCCCTTCCCACACTCTGCGGCTACTTCTTATTACAACTGTGGGAGGATCGGCTCTCGAACACACAACCATCACTGCCAACACTTCCCAGATGCTCCGGACCCTTACGTAAAATGGAGGGGTTTCTGCACATAAACTCCCTCCACCCTCCTGTGTCTTGTAAGCTATCAATGACTCCTAAAACCTACTGCAATGTAAATGTTACATAAGTCACTATTAGACCGCACCGGTTAGGTAGTGATGGGGAAATGTGCATGGTCAGATGCAACTTTTGATCTAAGATTGGCTGAAGCCATAGATGAAGAGCTCAGACACCAAGGGCCAGCTGGACCGAATTGTACATGTATGGCCTTGGCCACATATACCCTCCCACACTCTCATGTTGAAGGCTCTTTTTCTTCTCCAGGAACATGACTACCTCAAATCTACCCACCACATCCTTTCTCCTTGCCTATGGTGGTTTTATAATAGAGAAAATGTCATTCAACTTGAAAAAGGAAAGGGTCTCATCTCCCTAGCAAAGCCTCCCTTGTCTTCGGGGGATGCCCATTCATAACTCTGAGCTGAAGAACTTTTCGCCATCTCTGAAGGCTCCACACATCCCCGCAGCAGCAAAGAGCCACAAACTTCCAGCACAGCAAAGGCCAGTTCCTCCTGCCCCAGAAGGGGAGGTCGTAAGAGCCCCCTCCTCTCCTCCCCCTCATCTACTGCCTCTCCACATAACTTCTTCCAATACATCTCTGTTACAACTCGCTCAAGAAATTAAAGCAGGTTATTTTTTATGTGAGCAGAAAACAAAACAGCTGGAGCAGGGGCACACAGATACTCAAATCACATTACCTCTTTAAAGACCTTGGAGACAACATGCTTATTCAGGATGGGAACATAGGTGGCGCTGTGGGGCACCACCGCCCCCGCCAAGGCATCCATGATGGTGAGCTTCTTGGCCACAAGGCTATGGGTTCGGAGCCACTCTTCAGAGGACATGTCTGAAGAGCTAAGAACACAAGACTGCAGAGTTTAAAACTTGCAACTTAGCCGTTCGCAAACAAAACCAGAACCAATTGTCCCCCTCAGATTAAAGCACTCACGTGTGGTCATTGACTCGGCTTTCATTTCCAGTGAGTCTTTCGGACAACTTGTCATCGAAGTACTTATTGATCATCAGGATGCTCATTTCTGTGGAACGAAACAGCAGCTGTGGATATTGGGCTGACATAAAGGATCGATCATGCTTGCTCAGATGGATGACTAATGGTGGCCTACACTTCAGAGGCCATAGTTTAATCTACCAGAAAAGGATCTCAGGCAAAATGCATCAGGTGCTTCCACTGGTGGCCCAGGCACAGGTGATACAGTCCTGCCTTACCCACTCCTTCGCTAGCCCCCATGCAGTGAGCACGCTCTATGCAGAAGAATCAGGTGTGCTCATAATCTGTTTTTTCAAAAACCACATTTAAAATGTTTAACAAGACTATGATTTACCAGCGACTGGTCAGCATTAGGCTTCCCCACAACTACCAGGGGATTGACTTGGTTGACATTTTCAATTCAGGCATTTTATTTCATGGCTCTTCAGCTTGATGCGGGGAAACCAAAGACTGTTAGAGTCTGTTGAATCATTAAGTTCAAATTTTGAAATTAGTATGTGGGGTTTTAAACATATATCCTTATATAAACTTGGATTTCTAAACAGAAAGGAATATCCTTCACTGAATTAGCAGCAGCTAGAAACAAAGAAGTTCAGATGTGCGTTGGTTAAATGCTCAAGAAATCTCATTCTAGTCATCATGTGCTAAGTTCCATAATGAATGGACTGCATGTAGCCAGCTGAGGACATGCAAGCTAGCAGACTGCATGTAGCCAGCTGAGGATATGAACACAATCAGAATGCATGTGGCTGGCTGAGGACATGCAAGCTATTTGGAAAGGTTTCCCACACAGCGGCACTGAAGCTAACAGAGTCTGATGCAACGATGACAAGCTAACACAGGGGCACCTTTGTCATTCAGGTGCTTCCTACTATATAAGGGACTGGTATTGTGCTCAGGATTTAGTCATTAAATGTAGAGAGCACACTTAGGATTCAATTTGTTCAATTCAAGAAAAATCATCTTACAATTAGCCACTGAGTGGACAGGTTATACCTTCCTCGTGCTTACAAGTTTGACAATTGGAACCAGAAAGGGGCTGGCTGTGTGGCAAGAGTTTCAGAGTTAAAGCACAGAGTGACAGACATTTCTACCGACATGGCAGCCAAGTGAGCCATGAGTGTGCCAAACACCCAGGCACAAGTAGCACCAATCTAGCCCTAGGAAAGCCCAGTGCACTAAAGTAGGTGCATCTGATTTTCAAGGGAGCCTTTGAAGGAGGAATCTGCAACATTTTAAGTGTGACTTTTTTGTTTTACTCCCCCCAACCTATCCCACCCATGTCTTTCAGGCATAGACCATGGGCAGAAAGAAGAGGAAAGGGGTTTCCTGGGGTAGGCTCCTCTTATGCTTGCCTCTGTCACTCAGAGCGGTAGTAACGCAGCTGCTGGAGTTGGAGCTGTCCTTCATGTCACTGCAGCTCTTGGCTAGGAGGCTTCTGAGCAGGCTGGTTTTCGTCGCTTCTGTTGATACCACAAAGAGAGGGTTATAGGAATTGGGGATGGAAGGAGAAGTTTGACTAGGTGGAACTACCTTATTAGATTAATATAGCTTTAGGCTCAGTCAAGAAAGGTCTTGCTATACTCTTACAAAAACCTGGGTTTGATCCCCAGAAACCATTTGAAAGCAAAAAGCCAGGTGTGGAGGTGGCAGCTCCTTAGGCTGATTCACCAGTCTAGCTGGCTGGAGAGATCCAGGCCAATGAAAACCCTGTCTCAAAAAAATCAAGGTGGAAGACAGGTAAGGAAAAACACCCAAAGGTGACCCATCTCCATCTCCTCCATAAGTTTACACACACACACACACACACACACACACACACACACAAACACACTTAAAAAAAGAATATAACTTTTGTTTTCAATTTTTTCAGAGGATGGTCTGCCATACTGATTGCATTCTTCAGTTCAATTCAAGCTGTGCCCCTACTGAATAGGAATTTGCAAGCAAATTCATCCAGATTAGAGGAGGGGGAGGAGGGAGAAAAAGAGGAGGAAGGGGAGAGAGAGGGAAGAGAGGAGGGTACAGTTTCTTGCAGTTGTAGAGCTGGGGCCCATGTTTCCTTACAGGCAAGGGGTCTTTCTCAGCTCCTTGAGGCACTATTCACATAGCGTGTGTGTATGTCCCCATATTTAGGTCAGTCATGATGCATTAAATTCCTTTCATGGTTCAGGTCTCCTAGACTTTCTCTTCTGCCACCAGCTACAGAAAGCTCCCATTTAAAGGGATTTTGTGTGGTTATACTAAACCCACCTGGATAAGTTTGTGTTTAGGTTAGCAAAAATAATCCATAATTATAAGAGTGGTGTGGTGTAGGGCAAGTCATCTCTGATAGGTCACTTTACAAATCCTGCCTACCACAGTTGCTGCCAGGCAACTTACATTGCCCTGTAACCTTTGTCGGTCTTTGCTACTAACGGACGACATTTATCAAATATTGGCATTTACTTGCGTGCTTTAAGGAATAGTGAGTCTATGACAGGGCATTTTTATTACTTTCCACACTTGATAACACAAACAACACATTGGTGGTACATGAGTGTTCTGTGCTCTTTACAAGCCAGGGACACAAACACCACAACTTCAAGTAGACACTGGTGAGTGAATCCTGCTGTGTTCTCAACAACAGACTGGCTCTTCCCCCACAGGACAGCCAGAATGAATACTAGCGGGAAATCTTTAGGTGCTCAGTTTCTTTCCTCTCCTTTTGCACACTATAGTAACCCCAAGTGGGTTTCCGTGACTGGATAAGGGAGTTTGCCATATGCAGTTCATTGGTTTCTAAGTAACTTGAGGTGGAGCTTTCTTGGCTGCTGCTTCTTTAGCCAGGAGATTTTTAAAAAGACACATTTTCTTTTCTTGGGAATGATGTCTGTGGGCAAGAGATCAATGAAGCACAGAGGAGAGGTATGTGAAAACCTGTACTTGGCAATGGTGCAACTGCTCCCCACACCGTCTACTCACGTCTACATTGGACATTAGGGTAAAATTAAATTTAGTAATGGCTGCCTGCTGATAGCCAGGATCCAAAATCTAAGTGATGTGATGAGGGGGACAACAGTCATTAAGACACTTAGAAGAAGGATGAAACTGCAGGTCTAGCTAAAGTCAGGCTCACCAGAGTCAGGATGGCGAAAAGACACGCCCAGGGAGGGAAATGGAGCCTGTTTGTTTCCATCAGCCTAAGATATTTCCCTCTGGACAGTGTCATCAAAATCAAGTAGACAGGATATGCATGAGGCTTAAGGGTTGATTGCCTTTTCTCGCCTAGACACATGAGACACCAAGTGACAGCACTGGAAGAAGTCACTCTGCTCCTAACATGCACTTAGCAATCTGGTCGGAGGAGCCCGATGCTGCAACCTCAAGCAGGACCAGCAGAGCCACATAAATCTATCACAAATGCAGAGTTTCTAAATCATTGGAACCACAGCCCACAAAAACAGGCCAGAGTCAACATGTCTAAGAAACACAGTGGCAAAATAAAAAGATCTCAGTAGGATCCAGTGTCTCTAACACAGTAGAGTGCTCAGGGTACAATTTTAAAACATCACTTGGAGCTGTAGAGATGGATCAGTAGCATTGAAAAGCCCATGATGCTCCTGCAGAAGACCAAGCTCAGTTCTTAGCACCCATGTCAGATGGCTCACAACAGCTCATAAACTCTAGCCCCAGAGGATCTGACACCCTCTTCTGGCCTCTGCAGTTACCTGAACTCATGCAAGTATACCCAGTACATACACATGCACATACACACACACACACACACACACACACACACTACATACATAACACATGTACGCATACAGCATACATACACATCACTATACACACAACACACATGTATATACACACACAATAAAAATATTTTTCAAAACTTTACTCTTCTGTCAAGAAGAAAAACATACCTTGAATAACAAAAGGCAATAACATGTCATCAACGAAAATCAGAAATTAAGATTATTTGATGAGAATTTCAAAGACACTGTTCATAAAAAATTGATGAATTAAATAAACAGAAAATGAAACTGACAAACTCCCTAACAAGATTGAATAAAAGACAGGCACAAATCATAACGTCAAAAGACACCGGGACATAAGGATAGGTCTTGCAGCAACTGAAAGTCAATAAAGGAATACAATGAACAACTTGCTTTAAAAGGTAAGAATTTAGAAAGATAATGACCATGTTCTCAAAACAAACAAACAAACCAGAAATCATGAATTTCCAAAAACCAGACAAGATGAATAGATGATAAGGATCTCTTAGAACCACGAGAAATCAAACTCAGGACGAATATCTCTTTTCAGAGATTTCTGGGCCCAATTGGCTCCACGATAGTTTTATACAACCCGCAGAAATTGCATCACTTCCAAGAAAGGAGGAGGAGAAAAACTTAACCCATTTGATGAGGATGGTGTTAGCATAACACAAAAACTTGGCAAACAGTACTTTAAAAGAAAGAAAACTGCAAAGCAGTAACTTTTGTGAAAGCCCTCAAAATATATTAGCAACTAAAGTGATAGATTACAATCATCATACACAGACCGTTTAGGAAATATTTAAGGTGTTGTCTTAGTTAGCCTGAACCGACAACTTGATGCGGCCTAGAGTCACTGCAAAAGGGAATCTCAACTGAAGGATTGCTCAGATAAGATTGGCCCAGGGCGGGGGGTGTTTGATTGTTGGTTGGTGTAAAAGGACCTGGTCCACTGTGGGTGGCACCATTCCCTGTGCAGTTGACCATGGGCTGTATGAGAAGGCTAGTAAATAATGGGCCTGGAAAAGCAGCAAGCAGTGCTCTTCCAAGGGTTTGCCTCAAGTTCCTGCTGGAATTCTTATCTTGACTCCCTCAGTGGTAGACTATAAAATGAAATAAACCCTTTCCTCTCCAAAGTTGTTTCTGGTCAGAGTGTTTAATCACAGCAACAGAAAGCAAACTAGAAAAAATATAGAAGGCTGATTGAGTATTTCAAAATAAATAATACAATCCATCCCATCAATAGACCAAAGAAGAAAAATCTGATATCAAGTGATGTAGAAAATGTGCCTAACAAAATCCAGCACCTATTCATGATGAATTCATGATGAAAAATAAAAACCTTCCAGAAAGTTAAGTGGAGCACGTTCTCAGCTTTATAAAGAATAGATGAAAATCTGCACAGCTGAAATCTTATTTAATTGTGAAAAATTTTTTGCCCCCAATATGGGAGAAAGAAAATGATGACCACTGTTACCTTTATTAAACATGGTACTAGAGATTCTAGCTACTGAAATGAGGCAAGAAGGTGAAATAAAGCCAGAAAGGATGGAGACAAGAAATTCAAAAGTGTCCCTACTTATACAGTGTGATCATATAGAACATGACAAGAAATCTACCCAGAGTAGAGCTCTTCATACTACTGATTGCAGCAAAGTACCCAGCTACAGATTCAACAAAAGTAGCTACTGTATTTTTATGGAACATGCTGGAAATTACAAAATGCTACTGTCAGACATCAAAGAAGACTCAAATGAGCAGAGAGAAATCCCATACTTGTGAGTTGGGTGATCTGCCAAACAAAATCAGACATTTAATGCAATTACTAATAAATCCCAGAGAGTTTTATAATAGAAATGGACAAGTGAATTCTAAAGTTCACACAAACACATCAAGGCCTAGAATAATTAAAATATTCTTTAGAATAAAAACATAAAAGAAATCACCATTTGTGATGTTGATATCACATCAATCAACACCAAATGGTATTGGCAAAGGGAAGAGAAATGGAACAATGGAACCGAAAACTGAAAATAGATTCAGTGCACATTAAACATGTCCCCCCCATCTTTACAAATGTGTAAAATTAACAAAATGAAGTAATGGGTTTTCTAAAAAGATTTGTTTTTATTTTGTGTATACTAATACTTTTTCTGTATATATGTATTACACTGCAAAGGCCAGAAGCAGATGTCATATCCACTGTAACTGGAGTTATACAGCGTAGGTTTCCATGTGGGTGCTGAATAACTCTGCAAGAACAACTGCTCTTGAACACTAAACTATCTCTCCAGCCCCAAAGTATTGTTTTTTATCGCTGTTGTAGGAGTGAGTACAGGGAGATACAGCTAAAATTAAGGGGTATTTGAGGGGTAATATGAAAACCTAGTACAGTAGAAACTTCCTAAGATATATACTATGTGAATATAAATTAAGATTTCAATCTAAATGAAATTGCCAAGTAATGTGGGAGACAGAGTCTCAACTGGCCATCTCTTGTCACCAAATAAAGTTTCCAGTATCAGGATTGGGTATATCTAATTGAGTCGTTGCCAAAGGGATCCCATGGAAATCCAAATAACCCAGGCTGTTGCCAAGACTATAGGTTGATCTCTACAAACTGACAACAGGGCCCCATTGCTGAAGACAACATCTATACAACTCATTGAAGATGGAGATGTTGAACTGGTACCTACACAGAGCCTTCATTCCTACGTTCCAGCATCTTTGGAATAGGAATGTACTCTGTATGTTCTCAAAAGAGAAATATAAAGACACAACCCTTTATCTGCAATCATGTCCCGCCTACAAGATATGCTAGGGCAATGGTGGTACAAAGCTCATGTGAGTAACACATCAATAGTGTTTTAAGGCCCACTCGGTGAAATCATACCCATACCTGACACCGCTTGAGTAACCAAGAACCTGAGACTAGATAGGCCAGGGACTTATGGTAAAGCCAAATACTAGTGGTGTAAAAAAAGAAACTATAGTGATATAATGACTCCTAATAATACACTGCTATACTCATAGAGCAGTGCTTTATTTGGCCATCATCAGAGAGGCTTCTTCCTACAGCTAATGAAATTTCTAGACAAAGAAAAAATCTTCAAGACATAAAACTAGTATTTACATCTGACACCAAGAAGGGTCCAAGCAAGATACAGTAAAATCCTCTGCTTGATGAAGAACTCTACTGTGGATGAAAACACAAGTCACAAATGGAGAGAAAAACTTTCAAATGACTCATCTGAGTCCTAGTGCCTAGAACATTTGAGAACTCTTAAAACTCACCATTGAAACCCAAAGCATTCATTTAATATTCACAGCACAAATGCACAGACATCTCACTAGAGATGATCACCAGTTGGCAAGCAACAACAGTAGCAAGGAAATGCATGAAGACAGTCAACACCATTAGCAACTATGGAAATACAAATTAAAAATCACTGTGCTCGAACACATGACCATCAGAGAGACAGATCTTAAAAATCGCAGCAAAACATTATATGATTGAAAATGTAGAATAACTGTTCACTCACTCAGGCAAAATGACAACAGTTGCTTTGGGAAAACTGTTTGGTCATTTTCTTCACAGTGAAATGTTAAATTACCATGGGATTTGGCAATTGCATTATTGGCTATCTATCCTAAATAAATAAAAGCTTGTGCATACAATGACTCTGTACATAAATACTCATATTCTGCTTTATTTATAATAGACTAAATTTTAGGAGTAATTTGGATTAATCAATAGGTACATGGTTAAACCAAATGTGGTATACATATTACCAGGAATACTACTCATCAATAAAAAGGAATGAGCTGTTAACACATGTATAATCGTCTATGGATTTAGAGAAAATCATGCTAAGTGAGAAAATAGTCAATTTTGTGATTCTGTTCCTAAAACAGAATTTTTGAAATGTAACATTTTAGAAAGAAAACATAGTGATTCCTAAAGGCCGAGGTTTGTAGGATGTATGGGTGTGACTGTACAGGGGCAACCTATAGAGCCCTCAAGGTGATGGAATTTCCCTGCATCCCTACACATATGATAAAAACACAGACAAGAAAAGCTGGGACAAATCTAAATAAAATCTTTGGGCTTTACCAATGTCAATATTCTGAATGTGGTGTCATAATATTATTCTGTAAGATGTTACCATGCCGGGGGGGGGGGGATGTCCACAGGGTAATGCTGTGATATCATGCAAATTGTCTTAATAGAAATTTCATTGAATAAAACACGCATAAGAAATTGAGGGTAGCTCAGAGGTGGTAGTCTTGCCAGGAATGAGCAAGACACCCAAATAAAGAAACAGAGGCTTATATTAGGGTCTTAAAAGAAATCCCATGTGGGTTTGGTTTTAGTCCATCTCACTGAAGGAAAACCAGCCACGAGCCACGCCATTCTGTGCACAGGTACCTGCATGGAGGATTTTCTTTTTCTGTGTCTTTCCATCCACATTTGGGGGTGAAACAGCCACGGAGTCAGCATCCAATTGAAAATTTGCATATTTTTCTGAGGTTGAAACCATGGAGGAGATTTCCTTTTGATGCCTGTTTGGTTCAGATTTTAAAGTAGACCAATAAAAAGGAGGGTGAAAAAAAGTGTCCATTAAGAAGGAAGATAAGTGGATTAATACACTTACATTGAACACTGAAGACTGAAAGAAGTGGGCATGCCCAGGCTATCTTCTCAGCAGGAAATCCTTTTTTAAATAAGAGAGTCAGCAAAATGGGCAGACTAAAATACATGCATTAATCCAACCTTCCTGTTCATCAAGACTCAGTCTTCCTATTATCAAATTAAGCATAATGTGCCTCAGTACACGGGCATAGGAAAGCGTCAGGACAGACATAGGAGAGCATCAGGATAGACATAGGAAAGCATCAGGACAGACATAGGAGAGCGTCAGGACGGACGTAGGAGAGCATCAGGATGACATAGGAGAGCATCAGGATGACATAGGAGAGCATCAGGATGACACAGGAGAGCATCAGGATGGACACAGGAGAGCATCAGGATGGACACAGGAGAGTGTCAGGATGACATAGGAGAGCGTCAGGATGACATAGGAGAGCGTCAGGTCTAGTCCTTGAGTCAGGTAGTGTGCCTGCTATCACAGATGTGTGACTTCACTCCCTCACTCAAGTCACTCAATCCAAGCTAAGCTTCTTCAGTTTTGTCATCTATAGCCCTGGAGCTTCATCTGTGCACTGACCACATGGGGGCTGCTGTGAGGACCAATGAGAGGCAGCATGCCAGCATTCTGGAAACCCAGTTCTCTAACCGGTGCCATTTAGCAAGCTCTTGTAAAAGATTAGACTTCCCAGACTGGCAAAGAGGGCAGCAAATGATTGTAGAGAATCTCTGGGACCAGGAGGGATCCAGAAATGTTCAAGTCTCATCCAGACATTTCTGTCTCTGGGCTCTGAAAACAGCAGCCACAGGACAGCTGTGTGAGCCCACCCTATGGTCTGCTCTTGGTGTAACTTCATCCACACTGAGTGTCCATCCCACAACAGGATGGACCAGGATCCACTTCTCCTGGTGCTGCGCTTGTCCTCAGTACATTAAAAAAAGAAAAAGATTTGGAGGCTGTTACATTTTTATCTCTAATGGAAAACTTCAAAACAGTAGTCTGTTGTTGATAATAGCTAAGTGGGAGAAATTGCTTTCCTAATGCCGTTAACTAAACTGAGAAGTGAGGTAGTCTGCAGGCTGAGCCTTGCTTTCTGCTGTTTTCTCTGTTAAGTCGGAGTCTCTACTGTGAGCCACACACATATCCACTCAACCACCTATCACCAGCCCTTCCCGCATTACAGATGGGAAAACGGAGGCTCCTTGAGATAAGCAACTTATCCAAAGTGCGACACTTGCAATAGTAACAAGTCTGTAACCCAGCACGTGGTCCTCCCAGCCCTGGAAACGGAAAACACAAAACAACATCGCCTTCACTGCTCAGTCAGATAACAGTCGAGACAACAGACCAAGTTCTAAGCAACAGCTGGTCATTTTGTCTAAGATTTCCTTTGTTTAAACAAGGAAGGCAGTCAAGGTGCTGGCTGAAAGAATGGAAAAGCTAGCTTATACTCAAGTGATGTTTACTTATTTTATTTTCAGTTTATTTGCGAAGTTTAGAAACACATTTGTGCTTCTCCAAATTCTCAAAAGAAAACACTGCAAAATTTCCTCCTGAGACAACTCACTGTAGGACAGGCCTCTTTTTCTCCTAATTTGGTATCTGTGTTAATGCTTAATTTGTTAATAGGAAGACTTTGTTTAGATGAATAAAAAATTCTGCTTAATAACTATTTTCAATCTTTCCATTTGCTATCTCCCTTTTAGCTATTTTGGCAGGATGGGCATGAATATCTGTACAAACAACCTTAGATCACTTTAATAAGATTTGACACATTTCCTGAGTGTTTTTTTTTGGAACCACCACAAATGAGAAGTGCCATACAAGCTGGAGAAAGACTGAAGAAGGGTCTCTGCCTGACCTGCCACCACAGCCCTGATAAGGAAACAGATTCGGTCACAGAAAGGTGTAAGAGGAAGCTAAGTGCCTATCGATGCTTCACAGAATGAAGCCCAGACCCCAGGCTAAGTCTCCACCTCAGGCACCCACTCCTCACTGCCCAGTCACCCCTCTCTGCCCTGTCACCCCTTTCTGCCCCGGGGTGGGGCTTTCTATACTGGATAGAGAAAACAGAGTGTATCTGTGACCTCAAGGCCACTGTTACCAGGCCACCTTCTTTCTATAAAATACCCTAACATGACCAGACTGCAAGCTTCTCTCAATAGATTTGCCAAGGCCCTTCAGAAAGGGGAGAATGGGGGGGGCAGATGGAGGGGAGACAGGGGAGAGGAAACAGAGAGAGCAGGAGGGAGCAGGACAGGCAAGGGAGACTTGAAGGGTAGAGGGAGGGCTGGGGGAGCAGAGGGAGTAGGAGGGAGTGCGGGTGGGGAGGGGAGAGTTGAAGGGTAGAGGGAGGGCTGGGGGAGCAGAGGGAGCAGGAGGGAGTGCGGGTGGGGAGGGGAGAGTTGAAGGGTAGAGGGGGAGCTGGGGGAGCAGAGGGAGTAGGGAGGGAGCAGGACAAGCAGGGGAGAGTTGAAGGGTAGAGGGGGGGCTAGGGGAGCAGAGGGAGCAGGGAGGGAGCAGGACAAGCAGGGGAGAGTTGAAGGGTAGAGGGGGGGCTAGGGGAGCAGAGGGAGCAGGGAGGGAGTGGGGTGGGAGGGGCTTGGGAGCAGGGGAGAGGACCCAGGCAGCCAGGCAGGTGGTTTGGCAGCTCACTTGCTGTCCCCTTCCTTTTCGCCATTGTACCACCAGTCCATGACTAAGGACTCGGAGTACAGCTCCTGCATCTTCTCCAGGTAGCTGTAGCCCTGCTGCATTTCCAGAATCAAAAGGTTCACGTCTTCATCCTGCTGAAATGAGAAGGACAGTCAGGAGCTCCCAGGAGAGGGGAAACGCCCTGAATGGGGGCCAAGCAGAGAAGCCTAAAGAATCTCATGGACTTCTCTCACCATCCCGTGCCCAACCAGCCTGAATGTCTGTAGCACATACAATAAAGGGACTTCACACACTTGGGACGTTCTTATGACAAAAGTAGTAACCATAGCCACCACCTCCCCAAGGCACCCCCGCCCCCACTTGTAAATCTGGTCTCCTTCCCTCTCCCTGGTTATCAGGCAATTATTCAACACATTCTGTCATTACACATCAGTTTGAATTCTCTACAAATGGAATCATACAACAAATGCTGGAATCCTCTGGAGCTTCCTGCACTCGTAATTATTTTGAAATTCACTCATACCGCAGTGTGAACCCACCATTCACTCATTTTACTGTTAAATAGCTTTCTACTGTAATAATAAATATAAAAATGTATCCAGTCACTTGTTCATGGGCAGCTGAGCTCTTTCCAGGCTTGGGCTGTTGCAGATAAAGCAATGAACACTTGTGCGTGAGTCATTTGGGTGGACATAAGCTTTTAATTATTTTTGGTAAACAGGAATCTTGGATAACTAGCTCATGCGGATGGTGACATCACTGTTTTTCAAAATGGTTGTTGAATTTATAATCCTGCCAGTAACGTATGATCCCAGACACTCCACATCCTTGCAAATATAGAGCATAGCTGGCCGCCATTCTAACACTCACATAATAGTGTCTATTTGTGGCTTTAATGTGGATTTCTCATTGCTAACCAGGATGTGCATCCTTTCGTGTTATTTACCATATACACATTCTTCTGCTAATGTTTTGTTTTACCCTAAAACAGGGTCTTGCTATATATCCTAGGTTAGCCTTGAACTCATGGTCCCCCTGACTTTGCATTTTCAGCAGTGGGATTACAGGTGTATACCCCCTTGATCTGGTCCCATTCATATTCTTTTCTGACAAAAATGTCTGTTCAAAAGTTTGGCTCATATTTTGAGTTTCCTCATTATTGAGTTTTGAGATAGGCATTGTGGCAGGTACCTGCAATCTCAGCCCTTGGGAGGCCAAGGTAAGAGAACCAAGAGTTTGAGACCAGCCTGGACTACATAGGGAGACCCTGTCCTCCACTTTTGTTCTTCATGAAAGTTATGTTGGTATGCTAATCCTTGGCCTTTCCAGTTTGCTGGTATGTGGGTGTGTGCACCTGTATGCATGTGTATGTGTGTGGGCATGTGAATGTGCAGACGTAAACAAACGGGGTCCTGTCTTCTGCCTTGAACACAAGGCTCTCGGTGGACCAGGGACTTCACATTTCAGTTATGCTGAAGGTCAGCAAACTCTCAGGATCCACCTGTCTCTGCCTATGATGCCAGAGTTATAGGCACCTGCGGCCACACCTGGCTTTTCCACATGGGTGTTGGGGATTCAAACTCAGGTCATCACAGTTGCAGAGCAAGGGCTCTTACCCACTGACCTACCATCCAAGGCCAAGTTGGTTGGTTTTTACTAAAATCCTGCTTGAATTTTGACTGGGATCTTACTGAATGACAGCTCCGTTGGAAGAGAATGGACAGCTTCCCACTGTCAAGTCCTCCGACAAACACTGACTGCACCTCTCAGCCGTGTTTCACTGTGGTCCATGCAAAGACCTTTCATGTCTTTTGGCAGATGTATCCCCACATAGTTTTCTTCTTCTTTTTATTTCTGATGCTGTTGTCAGGGAGTTTATTTAAAATGTCTATTTTCAGGACTATAGCTCTATAATAGAGCTTGAAGTCAGAGATGGTGATGCCTCCGGACATTGCCTTGTTGAACAGGGTTGTTTTGGTGATCCTGGGTCTTTTGTTTTTCCATACAAAATTGATTATTGTTCTTTCAAGGTCTGTGAAGAATTGTGCTAGTATTTTAATGGGGATTGCATTGAATCTGTAGATTGCTTTTAGCAGGATTGCCATTTTTACTACATTGATCTTACCTATCCAAGAGCATGGGAGATCTTTCATTTTCTGAGGGCTTCTTTAATTTCTTTCTTTAAAGACTCAAAGTTCTTGCGATACAGGTCTTTCACTTGTTTGGCTAGCATTACCCCAAGGTATTTTATGTTGTTTGTGGCAATTGTAAAGGGTGATGTTTCTCTGATTTCTTTCTCAGCCCTTTTATCATCTGTATATAGTAGGACTACTGATTTTCTTGAGTTGATCTTGTAGCCTGCCTCTTTGCTGAAGGTGTTAATCAGCTGTAAGAGTTCCCTGGTAGAGTTCTTTGGGTCATTTATGTAAACTATCATATCATCTGCAAATAGTGAAAGTTTGACCTCTTCCTTTCCAATTTGTATCCCCTTGATCTCCTTTTGTTGTTGTATGGCTCTGGCTAGAACTTCAAGTACAATATTGAAAAGGTATGGAGAGAGTGGACAGCTTTGTCTTGTTCTTGATTTTAGCGGAATTACGTTGTGTTTCTGTCCATTTAGTTTGATGTTGGCTGTTGGTTTGCTGTATATAGCTTTTATTATGTTTAGGTATGCTCCTGTTATCCCATATCTCTCCAAGACCTTTATCATGAAGAGGTGTTGGATTTTGTCAAAGGCTTTCTCAGCATCTAGTGAGATGATCATGTGACTTTGTTTTTACAGCTTGTTTATATGATAGATTACATTGATGGATTTTTGTATGTTGAACCATTATCCCTGCATCCCTGGGATGATACCTACTTGATATCATGGTGAATAATTGTTTTGATGTGTTCTTGGACTTGATTTGCCAGTATTTTATTGAGTATTTTTGCATCAATGTTCATGAGGGATATTGGTCTGAAGTTCTCTTTCTTAGTTGTGTCTTTGTGTGGCTTGGGGGTCAAGGTTATCGAAGCCTTGTAGAAAGAGTTTGGCAATGACCCTTCTGCTTCTATTGCATGGAATACTTTGAGAAGAATTGGTATACGCTGTTCTTTGAATTTCTGGTAGAATTCTGCACGGAGGCCATCTGGACCTGGGCTTTTTTTGGTTGGGAGACTTTTGATGACTGCTTCTATTTCCATAGGGGTTATAGGTCTATTTAAATTGCTTATCTGTATTGGCACAAAAATAGACAGGTAGACCAATGGAATCAAATTGAAAACCTTGATATTAACCCACACATGTATGAACATCTGATCTTTGACAGAGAAGCTAAAAATATACAATGGAAAAAAGAAAGCATCTTCAACAAATGGTGCTGGCATAACTGGATGCTGGCATGTAGAAGAATGCAGATTGATCCATGTCTATCGCCATGCACAAAACTTAAGTCCAAATGGATCAAAGACCTCAACATAAATCCACCTCTTAGAAGAGAAAGTGGGTGGTATTTTTGAACGAATTGGTACAGGAGACAGCTTCCTGGACATAACACCAGTAGCACAGACAGTGAGATCAACAATTAATAAATGGGACCTCCTGAAACTGAGAAGCTTCTGTAAGGCAAAGGACACAGCCAGCAAGACAAAAAGGCAGCCCACAGAATGGGAAAAGATATTCACTAACTCCATATCTGACAGGGGGCTGATGTCCAAAATTTACAAAGAACTCAAGAAGCAAGTCTCCAAAACACCAAAGGATCCAATTAAAAAGTGGGATACAGAACGGGACTGATCAAGACACCCTGAATGTGGGTGTCAGTGAGGAGGCCTAGGTAATCTATTGAGCCTTGGGTAGTAGATCAGTATTTATCCCGGATATACAAATGGACTTTGGACTCCCATCCAACAGTGAGATATGTACTCTCACCCTGAACTCTTGGGGGAAGGTCTAGGCCCTGCCCTGTATGAAATGACAGACTATGGACACCCCCATGTAGGGCCTCACTCTCCCTGGGGAAATGAGGGGATATTGGGGGGTTGGTGGGAGGGCACGTGAGAAGGGGAGGGAAATGGAGAGGGACCTGGAATTGACATGTGAAGCAACCTTGTTTCTAATTTAAATTTAAAAATAATATATATATCTATTATCCTTTGCTAGAAGGTAGACACAAAATTGTTTTTTTGCACATTTACTCTTATGACTTGTCATCTAGCTAACTTAAATAATTAGTTCCAGTAATTCCTTTGTGTATTCCATGGTATCTTCTAATAGATGATGCTGCTGAATGAAAATAAACATAGACTCCTGCCATCTGGTGCCCTTCACTTCTTATGCTTCTGATGCGGTAAAGTGGCGAGAGCAAGCATCCTTGTACCTTGCCTGGTATTTGAGGATTTTATTATTACAAAAGTATGCATTGAATTTGGTAAAAAGTTTTAATGTATGAATCAATTGAAATGGCTATATTTTTAAAAGATGTATTTAATTTTATGTTCATGAGCGTTTTACCTGCATGTATGTCTGTGCACCACATGCCTGGAACCTGTGGAAGCCAGAAGAGGGTGTGTGATCCTGGAGTTACAGTTGGTTGTCAGTTGCTATGTGGGTGCTGGGAAATGAACCTGAGTCCTCTGGAAGAGGAACAAGTATTCTCAATCACCAGGCCATCTCTCCAGCCTTAAGTTTTGTTTTGTCTTTAATAAGCTGGGAAACTATTGGTTATTGACAGCTGCTTATGACCCAGTTGATGACTCATACCCATTCACACATGGTCAGCACTGATTGGACTCAGGAAGCTATTAATATTTTTTTAAAGACATGAAGTCATGAGAGACATGTGTTGGTGGCTCCTAAGAGAGTTCAAAGGGAATGGTGGAGGATGTGTACATGTATGAGATTTCCAAAGGATAAGTAAAAATAACAATATTTGTCTGGAGAGATGGCTCAGAAGTTAAGAGCACTGGCTGCTCTCCCAGAGGAGCAAACATCTGTGATCTAGTTACAGGGGACCCAATGTCCTCCTCTGGCCTCCAAGGACACTAGTTATGCATGTGATACACATGCAGGCAAAATGCTCATCCACATAAAACAAGAAAAACAAAAATAAGTGTGCTGATATAGTGAGCTATATGTTGATTTTTTAAATGTTAAACTAGCATTCTGCACTAAATCCAACATAGTCAGGGTATGTCAGATGTTTCATGTATTTTATTTGTTAAATTTTGTTGGTGATTTTTGCATATTTATACCTGAGGAATATTACATTCTAGTTAGATTTCTATATCAAGTCAGTGTTTGTCTTATAGGAGGAGTAGAAAAGTGCCCCCTCTTTTCAAAGTTCTAGAAGACTCTACCTACAAAGATCAACTTTCTTTTCACGACAGAGGATCAAACCCTTGCATGTGCTAAGCAAATGTTCTTCCATTGAGCTATACCTTCAGCCCTAGAACTGATACCACTTTCATCTTAAGTATTTGGTACAATTCAGCAGTGAGGCCATCTGGGGCTGGAGTCACCTGTGAGGAAACCACTTAACTATGAGCTCAATCATTTTTGATAGATAGAGGGCTACTTATACTTTATATGAATATAAGCTTTCATTCTCTGAAATGCATGCCCAGTAGACCAAGGGCCAGGTCATATGGTAATTAAATATTTTGCTTTTATAGAAATGACCAGCCTGCTTTTCAGCATGTCTGTATTTTGTACTCCAGCCAACAATGTGTTAGTGACGTTTCCTCCGCCATTCTGATGGACATGGAGTGACAACGCCTGGAATTCAGCTTGTGTTTAAGGCTGGTGGTACCCAGCCCCCTCTCATGTGCTTATTCAGCACATCCATGGGACCTCTTCAGCGGAATGGTTGCATGTGTCTGCAGGTTTTCTAAGTGGACTTTGTTCTTATGGCCCTGGGGATTGAACCCAGGATACTGTCCATGCTAGACAAGTGCTATACCACTGACCTATATCTCCCCTGACCCTCTTTAAGCTTTTCTTAAAGGTTTCACTACATTTCCCAGGCTGGCTATTCTAGTGTGCTTTCTGTTGCTGTGATAAAACCTTCTGACTAAAAGCAACTTGGGTCAGATTGTACGGGTCACTGTCCTTCACTGAAGGCAGTCAGGGCAGGAACTCAAGCAGGAACCTGGAGGCAGGAAGTGAAGCAGAGGCCATGGAGGAGTGCTGCTTACTGGCTTGCTCCCTCTGACTCCTTCAGCCTGCTTTCTTATGTGCCCCAGGTCCACCTGCCGAGATGTAGCACTGCCCATGGTGAGCTGGACCCTCTCACATCAATCATTGATCAGGAAAATGCTCTCAGACTTGCCTGCAAGCCAGTCTGATGGAGGCAATCCCTCAATGAAGGCTCCCTCTGCGTCAAGGGGTCCTGACTCTGGATTGTGGGGAGTTGACATAAAAAAAAATACAAACTAGCCAGCACACTGGCCCTGGATTAATACAACCCAGGCAAATCTGGAACTTCTGATCCCCTTGGTTCAACCTTCTGTGTAACTGTGATTTCAGTCCTGTGCCAGAGGCCTAGCTTCTTTCTAGAACATTTATGATTTTGTGTTTTATATTCAAGCTCATGATCCACTCTGCGTGTGCATGATCTATACGTGCATGAAGGCCAGATTTAGGCTGAGGTTCATCATTTTGCCTGTGGGTGGCCAGTTGTTCCAGTTGTTGCTGGAAAGGTGATCTTTCCTTCTCTGGATTGTCTAGAAGCAGTCAGGAGTGTTGTGGACGGTTGTTCCAATGGTCTGTGTAGCTATCTCCCACCAAAGCCATGTTGTCTTCATTAGCACAGCTTCACACACACACACACACACACACACACACACACACACACACACCTTAAAACCAGCTACAGAGCTTTTTTCCCTTTCATTATGGGTAGATGTTTCCCTGCTGTCCAACATACCTGGTAACATCTGATTGGTTTCCAGACAATGTAGACATTTTTATTTTCTTATCATTACATGCATATGGTTGAGTTACTTGGAAATAGTTTCATTCTCTCAAGCCTTATCCTTAAGATTTCCACTATGGAAGCATGACAATTCTGTGTGTTCTACAAAAGACCCAAAGGAGGACGAGGTTTCCCATTCTCACTGACCAAGCCATTACTATTGATTCCCTGCCTTGGGTGGTCTCAGCACAGCACAGTTCCCTCTGATCCTCTGCCGAGTTTAGTTCACAGACTCGAGTAGTCTTCTCAGTCTAAGCATTGCTCAGCTTCTGATTTGTGCTTATAACTCCCTGCTACAGTTTAAAGTCTCTTCCTGAGTATACAAGAAGGCAAAAAAGCAACAATCCTACATTCCTTTAGCAGAGCTCTTTGAGGATTAGGGAATACTTTCATTTACTTCCCCCGCTTTGCCCATCTGAGTGAAGTGTTTTATTAGATGGTCACATGGTTACATCCCCTTAGAAATTAGGAGACAGCTATTTAGCATCTGTGATTATTTTTTGAATGTTTCTCATACATATGTGTTTATACAGCAGAAGTTAAAAGCCATTATATGTATGGTCTGGAGAATTGGCCCAGGAGTTAAGAGTACTGGTTGTTCTCACAAAGGACCCAGGTTTGATTCTTAGCAGTCACATGGTGACTTGCAACCATCTGTAATTCCAGGGCATCTGAAGCTCTCTCCTGGCCTCCTTAGGCACCAGGCATGTGTGAGGCATACAGATATATGTGCAGGCAAACACCTATACACATTAGGTAACAAAACAATATATTTTTTGAAAAATTAAAAATAAAACACTCTTTACATATGGATCCCTAGGATCCCTTTTTTAAAAAACAGACCTCTGAATTTTGACAAAATGTTCCTAATTATTGAACTAAGTGGTGGTTAAATTGGATCCATGTAATTTTATATTTTTGTGTCTATATAAGGCTTCCTATCACAAAAAGTAGAAGAAAACAAAATTTATTAAGATCCTTGGGCCATTATATTTATAGGACTTCCTGGCTTGTACCTTTTACCATAAGGTCCAAATGTCATAAGTGTCCTGAGATCCTTGGGCCACTTTTGGAGAAATACTGGTGCATCATTAGTGTATTGGCTGCTTATATACTTTTGTATATGGCTGCAGTTTTCCCAACTCAGGTGCTGGCCCGATCTGAGACTTGTAACACTCGAATAGATGAATGAACCATCTTGTTCAGTGCATCAAATTCCCACCTGAATATCCTGAAGAATGGGATCCTTGCAGCCAAAATTATAAGCACGGAAATCTCCTCCAGTCAAAGAAGCAAGCTCCTTCAAGAACTCATTTGCAACCTCATCATTGTAATTGAAGGAGATGGCGTAGATAGGAATATTCTGAAAGAGTTTGACGTGGTCCATCACCATTTCCGGTGGCTGAAATGATAAATAAGAGAAATGGGGGAGGGTAAAAAAAGAAAGAAAATGGTATCATGTGACAAATTCTTCATATTTGCCATAGGCAGTCAAATTCTGAGATAGGAATTGTGCATACAGTGCGTGACTTTTTGTCTATGTGTTAGTTCACTTCAATATGCAAATCACCTACCAAAGAGCACAGGGACCCCAAAGGCCATGGTTTTCTCCCTCTGAAATTCACACTGTGGTAGGAAAAGGAAGTTAGGAAAAAGGTTTGTCTAACAGAATCACCTCAACTTGCAGCGTAGAAGCCATGCCAGCTGTGCTGTGGTCTGGACTAGGTAAAGGATCCTGGCCACTGGGATCCCACAGAGTGGGTGCCTGGCTTCCCAATTTGACTTCTAAACATCTCTATCAAGAGAGTAAGTTCTGCTTTTGCCATGTAAGCAAGTTGCTTCTCAGAGATAGAGGGAGAGAAAAAGAGAACTGTTTGTTGAAAGTCTTTCCATGCACTGGGTATTTCATTAAGGGCTTAAGTTCCTTGTTCCTCTTTAGTTAATCCCTTTAAGCATCTTGTGGGGTGGTTCTGGAAGGAATGCTGGCTGTCCCAGCTACTATCCATTCTTCTTGTCTTTTTAAACTACAAAACACTAGGTTTATTTTTTTATGACAGTAATATTCTCAGTTTAAAAAAAAAACAAAGCACAAAAATCATCAGTGATAACACAGTACAATTTACCATTCACAGTTACGAGTGGCCAAACTACCCAATTCTGACACACGAGATCTAGAAGTTCTCAGGGAGAGATTCCCTTTCTCCATATGAAGACAGACAAGAGTCTAACATCCTTCCCCATCCCTGGGAAGTGGCTCTTCCTCCCGCAGCAGTAGCAGCTGTGCTGCGACCATGAGGACAGAAATCATATTCAAAGATGGTGGAGTGTGAAGACAAGAGAAAGCCTGCATTCTGGGACACACGCGTGGGTCGTTGCATAACTAGGACAGCTACAGCTGGGTTTCTCATCCCTGCATATGCAGCTCTTAGTTGTCTGTCATTTGCCTGCTATCCTGTCTTTCCCCGGCCATTCCCTCCATTTAGTGGTGGAGAAACCGAGGTTCTGTACGATTAAGCTTCCCCGTGTCACCAAGTTCTCGGGTGATAAAGGTAGACAGCACACCCACACTCCAGTTCTAGGAACACTGGCAGATGATTTACTCCCCCGGAGTGTGACAAAGATCATCTCTCGGTGAGGATCAACTTGCAGTACCGTTGCTTGCCTCCCAAGAAAGAATTCCTCTGCCATCTTCCTCCCCATGACAGCCCAACTAGTACCTGCAGAAACTGTCCCCAGCTGTCCCAGGACCCTCTGTACCCTCGGTAAGAAGTTCCTCTTTGATTATCCATCTCACTGGCTCCATCGTCTACCTGTGGTTCCTGCCCTTTGTCCTTTGACCTTGCCTCATCTGCTTTCCCACGATCCCTGGGGAAGGGGTGATGAATGAGAGGGGACTGTATTCATAGCCGACTGGCCTTCCCTGAAGAGGCTGCTGTTCAGAAGGTCCCCAGAGACTGAGCTTGTGTAAGCCATCGCTCAGACACACCCCAGTCTGTTTAGCTCTAGCCTTGAGTCTACACTACTCATAAACATGTTTACTCTGACCATCAGCTGCTTTACTAGCCAAACATCAATTCAACATAACCAACAAGCTGCCCCCTATTTCTCTTGTGACCTACAAGGCCTGAGAGAAATGTGCCATTGTTGGGGGATGTCCTTCTGCATGCTGTGAAAATACGTTTCTCTTATTGGTTGATGAATAAAGCTGTTTTGGTCAATGGACAGGCAGGATTTAACCAGGCAGGAAATCCGAACAGGGACAGAGAAAGGTAGCAGGCAGAATCAAGGAGATGCTGTGTAGCTACCAGGAAGGTAGGACACAGAGTCATTCTCCAGTAAGCCATGACCGCATGGAGATACACAGATTAATAGAAATAGGTTAATAATTAAGAAAGAGAGAAAAAGCTAGCCAATAAGAAGCCTGAGTCATCAGCCAAACAGTTTATAATTAATGTAAGCCTCTGTGTGTTTATTTGGAACTGAATAATGACTACAGGACAGGGAGGGACAGAAACCTCAGTCCACATGCCATCCCTGCCGGCTTCCAGATCAGCTCCCCTTTCTAAGCGCTTACTAGATACTAGGTAAGTGCTGTGCTTGGGCTACTCTTCTGAAGGAAGTATTCAGGTTTCATTTCTTACTAGGACCATACAGCCTCTGCTCCTCGACTCAACAAGCCAGACAAAAGACAGACCCTCACTCTGGTCATCAAATGAATGGTGTTGTCAAGGCACCACTCTTACATTAACTTACAGCTGAGATACTTGCAAGGGGAAGGAAAACAACAGTGCTATAATTCCAACTGCATGCTGGGAACCATAGCTGGTGTCTCTACTTTGTTAGCTATATTACATCATGAATTCATTTGCTCACTGCCTCTCATTCCACTAAAAGCTTCCCTGGAGGCCAGTACCTTGTCCATCTTGCTCACCATCGTAGCTTCAGGAGAGAAGAGAAGCTCTGGTACTCACTTGATATTTATGGACGTCATTTATGGAAATATTTCATTTATTTCCTCAGAGCAACCCTGGGAGGAAGGAGGATTAGCCTTAAACCACAGATAAGGAAACTCCAGTTGCCCAAGGATGCTCTGATGGACAGTGTTGGGTCAGTTTCTAACCCAGGTTTCCATCTCTAAGCTACTTCCATTACTCTATCCAACTAAAGTGCACATTAGGAGCAACATAGTAAGCCCACCACTGTTCCCAACCCCTGCTCCATAATGCTAAGCTTGCACGGTGTTCCAGCACCCCCTGTGGCATTAGAGAGCTGGGGAAGAGGGAAGGCGTGCCCTAGACTGGAAAGCAAGCTCCATGCAATGCAATAGCCATTCCTATCTTCTGCCTGCTGAAGACTGCTGCAGCTGGTTTACAGCCTGGGGGCACTGAAGAGGAACACTCCAAAGGTCAACATCAACTGCTCCTCACAGCAGCCTGGCTCACTCTGATTCTTCACAGAGGCTTACTGACAGGTTCCTCTGGGCCATGGAGGGGAGGAGCCATCGCCTCTCACACTCCTGTGAAACAGTGAGGAAGCTTTTCTCAGCCCAGGGACTCTCTCCTATGCTCCTCACAGAGGCTGCCAGCTCTCTTCAGTCCCCTAGAGGAGACTGAGCAGCAAGGTGTGCAGTGAGCTCTCCATCATCAACCCAGAGCCATGGGAAAGCGGGAAACTGGATTTCCTTGCTACCTTAAGGTCTAACTAGACAGGCTCCTCATCTGTGACTTCCCATCCCCTAGACTTCACAGGGCTCATGCTAGGATCTATCTGCTATTCTCAATTTAGAAGGATGCAAAAATATTCATCAACTCCATTTGTAAAGACTTTGAAGGAGTCCTAAAATAACCATAGTCAAAGTTGGACTAGACTTCACCCATAATGAAGACTGGTGTTTCTAGAATTCTTGTAACATGATGAGTTTTAAAGACATGTGTCACCTTCTAATGCTGGCCTGACCATGCAACAGACAGTAAGCAGATGTCGGTGGATCTAGATGGTCCACATGTCCATCCAAGAAGGAAATACACTGCCCCGTATTTTGAGTCACACCGGCCTTACACAGTGAGCTTCCTCAAAGGTAGTGAAAACTGACAAACAAACGACTCCACCCCATTTCCACCCCCAAGGGATCCTCCCTTCTTCCATCTCAACTTATATGAAGAATGTCCTGAGAGAGCTCAGGGCACCTGAGCCACGTGTAGGCTTGAACTTGTTTTCACTCCTAAAAAGAGGCTGGGTGGGACTTGTTAATATATTTTACACAGAACACAAATATCTGGTATCCATTTGCTTTGTTGACAGGATCTTCAAGACAACACAAAGAGACCCACATGTGAAAGAGTAAACATGAACACCAAACACTTTTTTGAAGCATTTATAAATCATGTTTTGGGCAACTGTCATTCTTCGAACTCCAGCTGTCACCTCACTCCTCAGTGTTTCGTGTTTAAATGAATCAAAGTCTCTCTCAGGAAAGCTACTGATCCTCAGAAAGCTACGAGAATGTGTTTTGGATATACTGATGTGAGATTTTAGATCCTTGGAAGGTTATGCTGTGGGCAACCCTGAGCCACTGAACCACCCTCATATTTCTTGGGGCATCTGGACATCCATGTAGCCCAAGCATACAAATAATCTGCTCACCAGCACCCCAGACCTGTTTGCTCCTAATTGAAATTCCACTTGGGTTGCTAATATCATAGTGAGTCAGAAAACAGTTAACCACTTTCTACCCTCCTCCTGCCTTCTCCTCTCCCCCCCACTGCCTGATCCCAAGCTGGGTACCAAGCCCTGTTGACTCTGAAGGAACCCTCTCCCTCCCCAGGTGATACTGCTTCCAGGCCCTTGTCGAGGCCCCAGCAGAAGCTCTGGTACAGCTTGTCCCTGGCACTATCAGGGCATCATGTTTCCAAGCTATGGAGGGGCGGCAAGTTCTGTTCTTACGAGAGGTCCCCACTGTGGTGACGCCCACCCTTCTAACCTGCACAGCAGCCCCTCCTCACACTTCCTCGCCTTACATCCATTGCACATTTCCCCCAAGCCCTGCCTGTTTCTCTGGGTGTGACCCTCCTGCCCATAAGCCCGCTCTTCTGTATCCACCACCCAGGACAATTTGGTCTTCCCTGTTCAGAAAGCTCTCTCTCCTTTCCAGATACAGTACATATGTCTACTAGGGGACCCTCCCTGGTTTTCTGTCCATCTTTTATAGCTAAATCCATCCCTCTGTGCTGCTAGACATAGACCAGACAATCTCAGCCCCTGGATTGTATCAAAATGAACTGTATACATCTAGCACATTCCGTAAAGGTAAACTCCCCTAAGGCAAGGATCACTCAAAGCTTGGCACCACCTAGGACACACAAGAGAGTCACAGACTGCTTCTGAATAGAAAGCCCAGTGAAGTTGACAGGGAAAGCATTCCAAATTAAATTTCACTAGAGCACCACTACTCTGCCATGAGTCTAATGCAGTGATAAAATCCGGTGGCTTCAGTATTTAATCCTTGAGCCGTTTGACACAGGGTATTTTAGAATAGGCAGTCTACACATATAAACATCTTCTGAGGCAGGATACATGTTGATACTAATTCACTTTAGCAGTCAATTTACATTGTGCTGGCCTGGAAAATCCTCGTATTTACTTAATGCCTGGAGTCCTCGTCTTTCATTCACAAGAAACAGAACAGACTCTTCTGAAACTTCTCAAATATTTTCCAGGCAGACTAAACAAAGCCAAGAGCATTTCAGTTGAAAGGCATGCTTTTTGTTTAAGGGAGGGTAAAGCTAAAATTGGGGATAGAACCAAGGATGTTGCCCAGTGACATGTTTAGATTGAGTCCTCAAAGGAAAGAAATTGAGAGCAATCTCCATGGTCCTAGCTTGTCATAAAACATAAGCCATGTACAATGGAAGGCAGGCGTCTCCCTCCCTGGGCATGGTCTCCAGGCCTGTGAATATGGGTCACATTAAGCATAAAACATTCATTGCCATCAGTATGGCCATAAATGTTCCTTAGAGTTACAGAAGGCATGGGTGTTCCTTGGTGTCTTTTCTTACTTCACTTCTGTTTCCCCTATGCCAGGGACATAACTCTCAACACCTCTGGGGGTGGGGGACTCTGGATATTTAACCCAGAGCCTCCTGAATGCTTAGGCAAATATTCAACCCTGAGCTATATCTATAACCCTCTTTTCAAGTTTTTCAAAACAAAATTTTGACATGGGGTCCTTGCTAAGTTGCTTATGTAGCCTTGAACTCATTCTATAACCAAGTAGCTATTGAACTTGCCATCCTCCTGCCTCAGCCTCTCATGTAAGTGGAATGACAGGTCTGAGTCACCAAGGTCAGCTTCTCTGTGATGTCCCCTGTGAAAGTCTCAGTACCCCTCTCAGCATTCCCTTTCAGGACATTCTTGAACTTGTCTTTCTAGCAGTTGTAGTGAGTACCTGATCGGGTCTCCCATCTGTCAAAAGGTAGATGGCTTGCGTTTCTTTATCAGCAAAAGCAATTTTCAGGGCGTTCAGGGTATTTGTGGAACTTCCAACCTATGGGGGAAGAAAAGAGACAACCAAAGGAGATTGCACAAGCAAGTGAAATATATTCTCTGCTCAATGGCGTGCGGGGAGGTGGGGGGGGCGGCTTCTGAAATAAGAAACAAAATTTCATTGAGAAAATGATTTAGGACCAGCTATTCCAAGAAACCAAATCTCCAGGTGTGCCATCAGGGTCTCTAGCCAGGTAGTCCAAGGTCTGCTATAAGTCAAGGCTGTGGGTTTCCTGCCTTGACAACTGAGGTCTTCAAGCAATTTCATCTGTGTTTTTGTGTGAGATGCTCACTCAGTTAAGGATGGCTTTGCTGTCAGCAGGGCTGAATCAAGCAGCCTGAATGCATCCCAGTTGGGATCATGTTTGTTTCAACTCAGGATTTATTCATGCCACCCAGTACTTGGCAAACTCGAGTGTGGTCTTATTGATGGCCTAATGATGAACACATGAATGTTTCCAGCATAAACCTACAAAGACTAGGGTGGAGAACTGACCTTAAAATACATGGCATATTATTGGGTCTTATGGCATGGGGTCATGATGTTCTGTTTTGTGTATGATGAAATAAACAGACATAGCGTGCAACCTGGATCTATGGGTTCCATATTCTTGGGATTCAATCGAACAAGTTAAAATATTTAGGAAGAAAATTACACAGATACTGAATATCAAAAAAGTTGTCCCCCCCAATATAGTAAGTATGCACTATACTATCGTAAGTATAGTTTCATTTATATTATGTACATATACATAACTTGGTAACTGAAAAGATATACAATGATATGCATAGCTCATATGCAAACATGTTCCATTTTATATAAGCAACATCTGTCAGTTTGGGTATCCATGGGGGAAGGGGGTGATCCTAGGACCATTTTCCCATAGCTACTGAGGGCTAACTGTATAAATTAAAACCATAATCAATCAAAGAGAACAAATGATGGCTTATTTTCTCTCTCACATATGACATTAATCATAACACCATCCACAATTCTTTGTATAAAATAGAAAGAATATACATATTGCATGTCAAGGAGAAATAATGATAGGTTTTTAACAATGTCACCAAACATATCAAACAATTATAAATTAGAAAATCTCATGTATTGGTACAGAATGGGGTGAAATCAGATAAATTAGACTCACTAGAATGCACTTTATTTAACATACAAAAATGAGCCTTACCAAGATATAATCTCTGTCAGTAAGACACACAGGACTTCAAGATTTCCAAAGCCTACTTAAGTCCTCCCTCATCTCAGAACCAGGGTATCAATTCAACTGGAGTGAGCAAGAAAAGCAACAGTGATTGACCCAAGCAAGCAGGAATTTATGCAAAGGGCATCTGGATGGCTTACAGTGTTGCCATTTGGCAGGAAAACCTAGCTTGGGACCTCACACCATGGAGCAGGGACCCAAGTCCTGCTGCAAGCCCGCCTGGCAGGGGCCCCACTGCAATACCACCAGGGCACCAGATGCTGTGGTTAGCCACACCAAACCAGGAACTGTCAGCCATGAGATGGACCAGCAGCCCACTGCCTCTGCCACCCAAGAAGCTTGACAAGTCTGCATGTGCCACTGCTGTCAGGATGCTCGCTGGTAGACCCACCATCTGGAGTCACTGTCTCTCAATTCAAATCCAGGGAGGGTACTCTGAGGTTGTGCACCTGAGCGGCGTACTTGCTCCTGAGCCGAGTGGAGGCCAGAGTTTCAACTTCCGTAGGGTGGGCAGGTTCTGCCTCCCTTATAGGAATCAGGCTGAGAAGATGAAAGCTGGTGATGAAAGGGATGACAAATATCCAGCTCATATCCAAATCTTGTCAAGCTTCACTGTGGGCCCTGAATGCCCTTTCTGCTAAAGCTGCTTAAACTCAGACACAGGTATAGGTGCTATGTATGACTCCTCCCATGCAGTTCCTTTCCTCTTCCGTTAGCCTCCACTAACTGTCTGTGGGTATTTAATAAGCACCCAGGACCCACTTGACGTGCATCAAGATGGGACTAGAACACAACTTAGCAAACTGGACCAAACCCTGTCTTAAGAAGAGCTGACAGGGTAGTGCCGAGAGCTTGGAAACACTACCAAGCACTATGCTAACACTGCCCCAATGATGCCTGGCATAGGCTGCATTGCTCTAGCTGAGTGGATAGTTAAAGGCACCTCAAGGTGGGGCCAGCATGGAAGACTACCAAAACATGAACGGATGAGCAGGCAAATAGAGATTACTATGCAGGCGCCCACTTCCTATTTTGTTCAGGATTGGACAAGTAATTTTAGTGCTGCAGCATCCACATGAAGCAAAATGTTGGAAAAGTGGGGCAGTGCTGAAGGTAATAATAAAAAAATCTACCAAGTAAATCTACTGACTAAGTAAGTCTACTGGACTAAGCACACACTGTTCCTGCATTTTTACCCTATGGCATAAGGAGACTTGAAGTTAGCAATTTCTATCCCTGTGTCCCCAGAAGGTCTCCCACCAGCAACAGGCAGCTCAGGGATTCGCCTTGCACCCCTATGACAGCACCAAGCAGGAACTGAGGGGAGTCCCGGAAGCATGAGGGGCTCTGCAAACTAAATTGTTGCTGGTACAAAAGCCCACACACATGTAAGCCAGATCAAACAGGCTAAACCTAAATACGGTGACTGCTTGCTAAGTGACAAGACTTCAATGGGATTAGAGTCTCCTGACATAATAATAAAAATTCCCCAGAATGCAATAAAGAAAAATCACTCATCCTACAAAGAACCAGAAATAGCGGAGAAAAGTGGTCCAACTGATGCCCTCAGGGATCGCAGAGACAATAATGCAGATAGAATATTAATACTATAAGAGTTTCTGAAAAAGACAGAGGGGAGAGTGAAGAATTAAAAAAATATTTACGGCTTTTTAAGAATCCCCAAGGGCCTGGAGAGATGGCTTGTACTTTTAGAGGATCCAAATTTCCTTCCCAGCACCCACACTGGGTGGCTCACAATCACGTGTGACAGCTCCAGGGCATGTGATGCTCTGACCTATGTGGGCACCTGCATTTACATGCATAGCCCCACTTTATACACACGTACGTATATACAATTTAAAATCATGAAAAATAAATCTGGTCCATTTGAACCTGGGTGTTCACTTTAACATCTCTCCCTTCTCTGTCCTAATGGTGTTTCCCCTTTTGACACCCTGTTTGGTTTTAAAGGTTGCTTCTACTACATTTATGTATTTACTTTGTGTTGGCGTAGCGGGGAGCTTGGACATGCCAAGGCAAGTGTGGCAGTCAGAGGACAACCTGGAAGAGTCAGCTTTCACTGCCACCGTTTGAGTTCCGGGGGACTGAATGTCGTCAGACTCCGTGGCAAGCACCCACCTTTACCTGCTGAGTCATCCTCTGGTCTTTGAGTTCTTCCTTTCTTACCTGTTTCACCAAGCACCTTCCACCCTAACTTATTTGCTTTCTACCTGTCTCTCTTAAATGCCCCTCTCTCCTACTGAGAACCTAGCTTGAAAATTTGCATCTGATATGTAACTAATTAGTCCATAAATATTTACTGTTTGACAACTTTTGCTTCAAAAACTGATATATGATAGTTTTTTTACTTTATCCTACCACATAGATGGTTCAGAAGAACAGATTTATATAAAAATGCTAATGCAGTAGTAATTTTACAAGGGGCTTATCACAGTGGTTTGAAGAGTTTGTCTATAATCTTAGTGGTAGAATGAGGCAGGATGGTCACAAATTCAAGTTCAATGCTAGCCTGAGCTATATAAAAAGTCATACCTCAAGAAGAGCAACAACAACAAACATAAAAATTTTGACAACTGTTAAAAAGAAATAAATATTTTCTTAAAAAATCCTCAAATTTACATACATGGCCTCCTGGAGAAGGGAAAAGGGACAAGAACTCCTGAGCAAGACTAGGGAGAGGGGTAAGGGAGGTAGGAAAAAGAGAAGGGGAGAAGAGGAGGGGTAAGGAGGACATGAAGGATCAGGAAGACAGAGTCAGGGGAAGAATAGAAGACAGCAAGAAAACAGATACCTTAGTAGAGGGAGTCATTATAGGCTTAAAGAGAAATCTGGCACTAGGGAAATGTCCAGAGATCCACAAAAATGACCCCAACTAAGAATCTAAGCAATAGTGGAAAGGCTACCTTAAATGCCCTCCCCCTATAATGAGATTGATGACTACCTTAATTGCCACCCTAGAGCCTTCATCTAGTAGCTGATGGAAGCAGAAGCAGAGACCCACAGGAAAGCACTGAACAATACTCCTGGAATCCAGTTGTAGAGAAGGAGGAGTGATGAGCAAAGGGGTCAAGACCATACTGGAGAAACCCACAAAAACACTGGACCTGACCAAGTGAGAGCACATAGACTCCAGTCATAAAGCTGGGGAACCAGCATTGGACCGAACCAAGCCATCTGAATGTGGGTGCCAGTTAGAAGGCCTGGGCAGTCTATGGGACCTCTGACATTGAAACCAGTATTTATCCCTAGTGCAAAAATGGGACTTTGGGAGCCCATTTCCCATGGAAGGATGCTCTCTTCACCCAGATACATTGAGGAAGGCCTAGGCCCTCCCCCAAATGATGTGACAGACTTTGGTAATCCCCCAGGAAAGGACTCACCCTCCTTGGGGATTGGATGGAGGGTGGGATGGGCACATGGGAGGGTGGGAGAGGGAACTGAGATTGATATGTAAAATATGATTGTTTCTAAACAAAATAAAAATACCCTCAAATTTGCTGAAATTATAAAAACTACAATTCAAGAAGCTGAGAAACCCCAAATAGGTTAAAAATCTCTGACAATCATAGCTAGACACATTGTATGTAAATTTCTGAAAATTAAAGGCACACACACACACACACACACACACACACACACACACACACACACACACACACACAACCTCCCTAAGAACAGCCAAAGAGAAATAGCATGTTACAGTGCCCATTAAGGAATTCCAATTTGGGTGGCAGCCACTTCTCATCTGAAACCACAGAGACATAAGGAAGTGACCCAACTTGTTTCAAGTGTTGAAAGGAATGAATCCCCAGTCATAACTTATATCTGGTGAAAATATCCACTCTAGGGCTCATGGAGAGCTATGAGATTCTATTGCTGGGAGTCTCATCTTTAAAGGGTGGCTAATGGAAGCTTATGGCTCAAAAGAACAATAATAGAAAATCAAACCCTGAGCATGGAAGTCATTACAGAAGACCATCCTTAACTGCCCAAATTTCTCAAATCATGTGTTACAGTTTAAGCAGGTTTCATACCAATAATGACTTACAGAAGAGCCATTTCAGTTACACTTCTAATATGTATGGAGCATAAAGGGTGCAAATTGAGATCAGGCTTGCTCACTTGAAGTCATAACACATCAGGATCGGGAGCTGCAATAAATGATAACTTTGCATATGGAGAACCACTAGAAGGAGCGCTCAGAAAACCATATGAGGTGTTACAGTAAAAAGTAAAATGAATAAGTTAAAATGGAACACTAAAAGTACCCAAAGGACCCACTAGAAGGCAAGAGAAAAGAATGAAACCAAGGATTCCACAATAAGCAAACAACCAAATGGTAGACATTAGCCTTAGATATCAATAATACACACACAGTCTCAATACCCCAAAACTTGACAGGGACTGGAGAACTTACAAAATTTTGACCAGATCCCTTAATGTCTACAAAAAAAAAAGCCACTTCAAATACAGAACCATGGATAAACAAGGACAAAAGTGACACATTGTAGGTTTATTCTTTTAAGCAGGAATAGCAATGCTAACAGCACACTTCAGGTTTTCTGGAGTGGGGTTGTTGGGTTTTTGTTTGAAGTTTTATTTTTGTTTTTGAGATTACATCTTGCTAGGTAGAGAAGATGGCTTTCCAACTCATTACCTTCCTGCCTCTACCTCTTAAGGACTGGGCTATTCATATAGGTACTAAAAAGCCTGACTTACTACACACTTTAGAGTAGTGAACATTATTACTAGGGACAAAAAGGCCTATTAACTAATGACAGAAGGCTCAATCTACAAAGACAGCAACTCTAAATACATATGCACCAAACAACAGGGTTTCAAAATACACAAAACAAAATTTGATGAAACTGAAAAAAAAATAGAGAAATGACCAATTATGGTTATTTTCTTTAACAGACAGCACTGTGGGAGTTAGAGTCTATATTTTCCATAATTTCTAGTAAGTTTTAAATTTTTATGAAACATATTACAAATATAAAAACAATTTAAATCATGCCAAGTTTGCCTTCAGCCATCATGCAATCAAAGTTAATAATAGAAAGATAACTTGAAAACCTCCCAACACTTGGAAGTCAAATAATGGGTTTTAAATAAGTCAATGGTTCAAAAAAGAAAACATAAAGACCTTAAAATTTACTAGATATTACAGGAAATTAAGTAAAACACTTAAATCTATAGAATGTAGCTGGTGGGGAAATCTGTGCCAACTAGTAGTTTACTCTGGGATAATGGAAACACCTCCAAAAGCAAGCTGTGTTATTAACTAAAGAACCTTGGAAAAGAAGAGCAACACCCACTCAGAGCAAGCACAAATAAAGAAATAACACAAGAGCAGAATCAGAGAAATTCAATAGTACAGCAATACAGAAAACTAATGAAAACAGGGTGGCTGGTTTTAAAAAGCCAATGTAGCTGGGTTCAGTGATTCCTGCTATGTTTTTGCCAGTTGGGAGGCTAATGGGAAGCTGGATTTGGTCCAACCTGGGCTACACAGCAAGAGACTACCTTAGAAGAAGTCAGGCATGGTGGCACACACATGTAATCCCAGATACATAAGAGACTGCAAGTTCAAGGCCAGCCTAGGCAACTTAGCAACCCCAACCTCAAACTGAAATTTGAAAGGGCTAGGGCTGAAGCTCAGTGAGAACACTTGCCTAGCATGTTTTAGGCTCTGGTTCAGTTCCCAGTGTCACAAAACAAAAACAAAAATCTGAAGAACATTCTAGAAAATATCAGTCAGTGTTCTTCAAAAGTATTAAGATCATGTAAATTCAAGGCAGACCAAGAAGCTTTCTCCTACTGGGGAAGACTAAGGAGATACTGCAGTCAGAAATGTTTTTTTTTGTGGCAAATCTGATGCCTCTGACTGAACTGAACTGCCATTCTGCTAATAGTAAGAATGTGAATAAAGCAGAGCTCACTAATGTATTCGCCCAATAGGACTGAATGTATAATACCTCAGAAGACAGCCAGTTCTGTTAGCAACAGAGATAGCTCCTACTACTGGTAAAATGGAGAACACTGCTACTACTGGAAACTTAACAAGTTGAGTATGACCCTGACACTCTACTCCCAGGATAAGATGGTTAATTACTTAAAGATTTTTACCTTCTTATTCAACATTCTTCCTTCTTTTCTCATTTTAAAAACAATCCCAAAAGAACTGGGACATCCCAGGGTATGCCTGGGCCTGTTTTGATCAGTCAGGATTCAAGGAATTCAGCTAACATCTGGTGTGGCTGCTGGGCAAATCTAGGACTCTATACTCATGCAGCAAGCTATTTTAAGCAACTTTTTAAACAGTTCTGTCTCAGATATTTAAGTGTCTCTCAAATATCTGGAATGCCATATGGTTCTGGAGCATATTCAAAATTAAGAGAAACTTAAGGCAAGAAAAAATTCTAGAAGAAGAAAATCTTTCCCAGTAGTCCATGTGACAAAAAGCAACAGCCTTGCGTATCTCCAAGAAAAATGCAGACCTGAGACACGACTTTACTCTCTCTCAGCATCCTCCTTCTCTCTCTTCTTGCTCTCAGCCTTAGATGCTCACACTGCACTGTCTCCAGGAGCTCGTTGCTTCTGAACAAAGTTCAGTGTTAGGAACAGCTGCAGTGGGGCCTCTGAGCCTCTGAAACACTGACGGAGTGTCAGACGGGGCAGATCTGAATGCTTGAGTACCCAAAATATAATCTGTTGAAATCTGTTTTCATCATGAGGCTGCAAAATGGGCCCAGGACAGATTTGGAAAGAGAGCCACATCTCCTTGTCCAAGGTTACACACCCACAAATCCAAACAACTGCGGAATGTGTACACACACATGTGCATGCACACGAGAGTGACTGTGTCTGGGGATGGGGAGACGGCTCAATGGGCAAAGCCCTTGCTGTGCAAATGATGAGTATCCGAGTTTGAATGCCCAGGACTCATATAAAAGCTGGGTGCAATTGTGTACATCTGTAATCCTAGCACCCCTATGGTGAGATGAAAGGCAAAGAATTCTCAGAAGCTTGCAGGATAGCTACCCTAGTGGATGGAAGCAGCAAAAAACAAAGAGGCCTTGTCTAAAGCAAAGTGGAAGGGCATAGAAATAAGACTGTTTTCTGGTCTCCACAGAAGCTCGGTGGCTCATGTATGCCTGCATTTGCATGCACAAATCTGCATATACACTCATATAACATACATATGCACACTATATATAAATACACACACACATAAAAGATGCCTGTTTTTATTCCCCAAATGATACAGTATAACGCCAGTTACTTGTACTGGCTGTTGTAAGCTGTGCAGAGATGATTTTTGGCACATGGGGGTTTGTGTGGGTTCTCTGAAAATCTCACAGCATTTTATATTAGGGATTTGAGCATCTGTGGCTCTCATAGGATGCAGGGGAGGTCCTAGAATCAATCTCCCATGGATACCAAGGGATGATGACTATAAATAGATGTTATCTAAACGTTAAAATACTGACTAATGAGACTGGATGAATGTGACCTTTGTAGCCAAGTAACTGCCCATGTATAAACACTGCCTTTCTTGGAGCTCAATCCATTTCTCAACAATTTCTATCCTATGAGTAAACTCAGTACACTTTCAGACATTTTCAGACTTTTCCCAGACTAGACATTTTACCTTAATGTTTCTAATCCATGACTCAGCCTGTTCCAAATTATCTTCATTGATTTCAGCGAGTTTTTCCCGCCAAGCAATTGCCTGACCATCAAACGTCACAAAATTGAATTTACTCTTGTACCTCAGCTGTTCCTGTAAGAGACAGTTATTATTTAACCATAAAACCACTCAGATGTAAGAAAAACTGAAGAGAGTCTCTAGGATATCCATTTTTAGTTCTAGAAGCTAGCTAAAAATTATGTTCAATTGAAAAAGAAGTTTCTGCTGCAAAAGGTATTTGAGTCAAAATTATACAGTTTGGATGCTTGGCCTCTACAAATGTTATCTATGAATGTATAGCTAGAATTATTTGTCATATATGTATGTGTAAGCAACATTGTACTATAACATTTAATACTGACATTAATGCTGTGCTGAATAAGCATGTTAAATCCTTAAAGAAGAAAATTCAAAATGTCATCATTTCGGTCACTACCTCTTGGGAAAGGCTCTTATTTGGTACAGACCTAGTTGCTTGCCTGTCATCAGCCCCCCATCCCCACCCCCAGGAAGCTGGTTATGAGCTGCATTTTGTATTTCTTAAACATTCTCTACTCTTAGCACAACAGACTCATGACAATAATGTGAGACCTGGTTACTATGGAAACTGGATTCATAAAGCAACCTGCTTCCAAGAAAATGATTCTAGGCCGGCCCAGGTGAATGGGACAGAAACTGGGTGATTCCATCACGAGCCTACCCACTTCCCATCTGCAGCTTTGGGGTCAGTTCACACAGCTTCCCTATTAGACAGGAAATTCAATAAAAAATCAAGATAATAAATATCTGGGAAGCAATAGAGATTTCTTTGTATCATAGGTTAGAGACAGCTCTGGGCAGAAAGTATAGATGCACACTTAAGTGAGCCAGGGGTCACTTTATGACGGTGACATAAAGGACCCAACAGAGGACAGGTCTGATTGCCAGGGAGCACTGGCAGTTGGAGAATGGAAAAGGGGAGCATTCCTGGACTGGGTTTCTCAGGCACCCTTTAGTGCAGTGTGGCCCTGTTCCCTGCCCAGAGCCGCTACAGACAATGACTATTGGAGATGTGTTTAGGAGACACCAGATCAAGCACCAGAATGTGACAGTCCCACCTCACCTGTATGAACTGAATGATCTTATCCTTCACCAGGTCCAGTTTGCTCTTCATGGAGTGAGATGTGTCAATGAGGACATAGATGCAATCTCCACTCACTTTCCCAAAGAGGACTCGACTTCCTTCTTGTAGCCACTTAATCCTAAACAGGACAGAGTATCAAAGTAAATAGCGTCTATGGACAACAAGATCGTCTTCATCAGAAGACAGAGCTACAGAGCCAGGACACACAGCCAGAGCGCTGCTACATTGTTTGTATCTGATCTTTGATGAGTGGATTGTTTACTTTCCGGGTTTGGGGGGGGGATTGTTGTTGTTGCTGCTTGTTTGTTTTTTTTTTTCTGTAGAGAAAAAAACTAGACTTGAGGCCAGAAAAATAACTCACCACCTAAGATTGCTTGCAGCTCTTACAGAGGACTCAAATTCGGTTCCCAGCACCTACATTAGGTACCTCACAACTACCCGTAACTCCAGCTCAGAGGGACCCAAAACCCTCTTCTGGCTTATGAAGGCACTTGCATGTGTGTGTGTGTGTGTGTGCGCGCGCGCGCACGCGCACACACACACACACACACACACACTAATAAAAACAAACCTTTTTAAAAGAAAATTTTACATTTTGACTGGCCTTCTTATCAGGCCCCTCTATTGCCCATCACCAATTCAAGCAGAACAAAATTAAGAAAATCAGTACAGCAGAAAAAAATGAATGCAAAAAAAAAAAGCCATGAGCCAATAACTTCTAGCTCTGTACTGTGGGGAGGCTCTCAGCTATGGCTTCAGAGGTCCTGAGTGCAGCTCGCTCCTGACACCTGCGGCGTCTGTGGACAGGACTGAACTAAGCACTAGGTGGTTGTGTGTACAGGGACGCTGCTGTGGTCAGTACGCAGGGGCTCATCACAGGATACACTGAAGCCCATGGTTTCAGGAGAAGTCTTGCAGTGAGAGTTGTGGAGAGGGGATAGAGAAAATGGAGTTCAGCAAGTCTCAGGCAACTAGAATTTGTAACGCAAAATGCCCAATGGCAGTTACTGTATGGAAAGGTACAGAGACTGCGATGGACATAGAGCAGGTGGTGTGAGATTCCTACTCCAGATATTTGTAGGGCTTCCTAGGGATTTGGATTAAATGATGATCAGGGCATGTGTGTGAAGAAATTACAGACGCCAAAGAGAAAAACCATCCAAAGAGAGCTCACTGGAGCTTACACGCCTGGGAATAGTAGTTCATTTTCCCAGCAGCCAAAGCAAAGTGTCAAATGGAATCCTCACAATGGTGTTACCTCACTAGTAAAACCAGATCAGCCCTAGGATAAAGACTACTGTGGACTTACTCATGTAATTTACAAAATAGGACTAACACTCAAATTGGGTCTAAGCTGCTTAGCACTATCACAAAATACATATAAAAATACTGTCAAGTCTAGCATCCAACAGTGTAAAAATTCAAAATGCCTGGAATCCAGAAAAAAAAGAAAGAAAGAAAATAACTCCCAGGCATACAAGGAAGCAGGAAAATAATCAAGATTAGTAGAAAATCTGATCAATAGAGCCCCAAGCAACCCAGATGTTAGAATTATCAGAAAAGCAAAGGGTCCTTGGTGGTCACTACAAATACATTTCACATGCCCAGGCACAGACCTAGCAGAGAAATGGAAGACATAAAAAAAGATCCTAAACATTGCAGAAGAGGAAGCAGAAAGAACATAGGAGAAGAACACTGTGAAAGGCTGAGTCCTGGACATGACACGGTGCCGCTCTCATGAAGGCAAAGCAGCTGTGGTTACCTGTACAAGATCTGCTTAAAATCCAGTCAGTCAGAGTCCTGGAGTCGATGGGGAGGCACCCCAGGCCCCAGGAGAGCACTTACTGAGGAACTCTTGATAGCTGCTGGGGGCGGGGGGGGGGTGACTCATTCTTTTTTTTTTTAACATGTTCTCATAGACAGGTTTCTCATGCTCCAGTGTATGGCCTCATACCTATTCATATATGGACAGCACTAACTGGACTTAGTGGAGAAGAAAAGGAGGAAAAAGAAGAAGAAGAAGGAGGAGGAGGAGGAGAAGACGACATAGCATAAGATTGGGGCAGGGGCATGTTAGGGGTTATAGGTGGTATTGGAGGAGAAAATTTATATTTCATTTTCTATATGTTCTATATTCATATGTGTAATGGAATTCTCAAGCATAAATACAAATTACAATAAATAATAAAATTCAAAAGACCCAAATAGGGACTCCTAGAGGGATGCATCTGAAGTGAAAAGTAAATTATATAGCATCAATAGTAAGCAAGACAGCAGAAGAAAAGATCAGAGAATTTTTTTAAAGCATAGCAGTAGGACACAATTCAAAGTGAAACAGAAAATTAGAAAGACAGAATTTTGTAACGCACAAGAAGTGTGTCTGTAATTAGACTCCACAACAGTCAGGAAAGGGAGAAATAGAAAAGACATTTTTTAAAAATTCTATTTTGATGGAAACAGTGTGCCTACAGATTCAAAGAGGTCCAAGAACCCAACAGAGGAGAAGAGAAGAAACCACAGCAAAGTGCATCATGAATTTGATGAAACCTAGTGATTAAAAGCAGCCAGAGGCAGAAAAACTCACAATGCATTCAGAGGAACAAGTCTAAGAATAAAGGTCTTTTTAATCACAAAACACACAGACCAGAATACATGGAAGATTTTAAAAAGAAACAACTGATAAAAATTTCAAACTAGAATTCTGTACATAGCAAAAATATCTTTTTTAAAAGGTGGGGGGCAAATTAAATGGGTTTTCGCTATAACAGTGCTAATATCATCATGAGCAGACTTGAACCACAACGGATGCTAACAAAGCCTTCCAGGTAGAAATAAAAGAATGCCCAGGGGAAGTTTGAATTTATATAAAGGAGTAAAGAGTAATAGAAATAAGCATGGAAAAATACAGCATGCTTTTATTCTAATTCTTAGTCATTCGATTAGGATATTAGACTATTTGTACTGCATTGTTGGGTTCATAGATCCTACGCATATAACGTCTGTGGTAACTGTGGAAGACACACAGGGGATGTGTAATATTCTTACACAAAGCGGTATGTATGATCTTGTCTGAAGGCAGACTGAGAGGTTAATATGTATAATAAAAATATAATAGGTAGGGTTAATATGACAACAGTGGAGACAAAGGGAAGTCATAAAAAGGTAACAGAAGAAGGCACAAAAGCTAAAATGTAAACAAAAAGGAGACAGGACAAATAGAAAAAAATGACAAGATCCCAGATTTAAGTCTAACCAAGTTAATAATTGTGACTCATCATGACACTACAATCACTGGTACACATTCTGTTTCCAAGAAGCCCAGTTAATTACGAGTCAGATGGAAAAAGACAAACCATGGAGACCATAATGATTGTTAAGCTAGAGAGACTAACTATTCAGATATCAGACTAAGTGCATTGCTTAATAAGGAATTTTAGCAGAGTTGAACAGGCCATTCCATATGTTAAAGGAGCTGATCCACCAAGTGACAGCAACAGTCCGCAACATACATGCACCAACTAACAGAGTTTCAAGGTATCGAGGGAAAGCCGACAGACCTGAAAGAACCACGCAGACATGACTCGGTGACTCCAACAATTTTCTCAGTGGTTTATAGAACACGTGAAGAGAAAATCAGTGAGTATGGATGACTAACACAACACTACCAACAAAATGAAACATATGTAACTGACAAAAAAAAAGTCTGATTTCCAAGTTGTGTGCCACAAAACCTTCCTACAGAGAAGAAAACTACAGGCTTCAATGGTGTTAATGGTGAATTCTGCCAAACATACAAGGTTGAGATGGTGCCAATTCTCAGAGTTCTGCAGAAAATAGAAAAGGAAAAGAGCTCCTGCCCACTCTTGACACCAGGAAGGCAAGGGACAAAGGGACCCAGAGGCAGGAGTGCATTGCAAGCAGCATGGCCCCTACAAGACTGGAAACACAAACTCAAGAGTCAGCTCTGAAGTCATAGCAGAGGAGACTCTCGACACAGGGACAGCTTTCTGTGAGTAATCCATTACCAAGTGGCTTTTGAGATGCTGGGGCTCTGGGTACAAATACTGTGCAGGTGGGTGTCTGTTACGTACGGCTTTGTAATAAAAACAGCTTGAGGACAGAGGGGATGTTCAGTTTTGAGTGGCTACAGCAGGCTGCCACTGGCTTAAACCCATTAGATTTAGCATCTGGAATAATCCACAGAGCAGATTTACAAAATGTCATCACTATTCCCACTTTATAATCAAGGAGACAGATGCAAAAAGACATTAACTAACTTGCCCAGGGCCAAATGACAAGTGGTAGAGCTGGGGTCTTCATCATTTTCTTTTAATTTCTTGTTTTTCCAGTTCTCTGAGACTTCAGGGCCAATGCCCCTCTGAGAATTTGATCTCCATGGTCTAAAGCTGTCTCCTGACATCTGAAACCTAAGAGTGTTAATTTAAATCATCCACAGGGAGTCAACCCTGAGGTCATGGCATCAGTACACCATACTCATGAGCATGGCAGATTGTAAGAGCTCAGCAATATAAAGACAGATAGGAAGGTCACGTATTTTCATTGTCTTCTAAAATATATATAGCATCTGATTATTTTCCTATATGTCACAGCTACGTAAGAGTTGCCTTGAGATGAGATAGTTTTGCAAGAGAGAGTATAGATGCAGCATAGTCTGCAATACACCCATGGTCCACAAAAACCCCCAAAGTACAGACATAACTACCCTTAATCTCCTAATAGCCATCACTTTTAAATAGCTCCTTTGGAAACTGAGGAGACGGCTACGTTGATAAAGTGCCTGTCACAAAAACATGAGGACCTCAGCTCCGATCCCCAGCAACCACATAAAATCCAGGTATAGTGCTGTGTGTCTGTAACCCCAGGCCGGGGGAGACAGAGACAGGCAGCTCTGTGCAGTACATTAACCAGCCAGCCTAGCTAATCACTGAGCTCCAGTTCCGTGAGAGACTCTGTCTCAAAAATTAAGATGAACACCAACCTCTGTCCCCTTTCACATGCATACATGTACCTCCACCATGCACACACAGTAACTCCTCCATGTTCTGATTCTGTTGAAATCTGGATACTAGTATTCCCCTCCCCCCCTTTGTTAATAACATCATCAATGAGCTATCAGATGGAAACTTTGACAATGGTGTCTATTGGCCACTTCATTCAGGGGCTCTCTCGTAGTATTTCACAAGAGACTAGATCACTAGTGGGCACATTCAAACATACCAACCTCCTCTGGATCCTGGCCAGGGCTATGTGAATTCTCTCATTGTACCATTTGAACTTCTCCTTGGTAATGATGACGTGGACCAAGTTCCCATCCTTCCAGGGAACATGGATGAATCTGCTGCAGTATTTGGCGTGGACTGTCTTCCTATTGATGTCCTAAGGAAAGAACAAAGTCATAGGCTAGAGCAGGTTCTTAGGAAAACAAAAACCACGACTCCTCATGTGGGCCCACAAAATAACTAAAAATGGAATAAAATCCTGTCATCTCTGCCTCCATTTTGTAGATATCTCCTCTGAAGCCATCACCTGAGAAATCTGCATATTGTCATACTAATCTCCAAAGGAGTGCCCAAGTATAGCATAATAATGGCTAACATTGCACTTCCCTGCAAGGATAAGGATAAGAGCAACAGAAACATCTTACTGTGCAGCGTTCTGTTCCAGATCCCCTGCCCCACCCCAATACCACCCCTAAAAGGTGCCTGAAGGTGCATAGTAAACCTGCAATTACTCTGGATTCCAGGACCAGCAGAGTCTCAAAGACACATGACTCTATAATAAGATGCCCCACCATCACCACACACACACACACACACACACACACACACACACACACACACACACAGCAGTAGCCAACTTACAGGAACCAGACCACTCCTCTTGAAACAGCAGCAGTAACAACTTCAAAGCTCAGAGAACTAGAACTGAGACAAGATCAACCAGATCAAGCCTGCCCAGGACAGCTGAAGTACACAGCTCTTCTCCTTTGTCCCAGTTCTTCCTGCATTAAGACTACAGCTCAGCCAGGCGGTGGTGGCACACGCCTTTAATTCCAGCACTTGGGAGGCAGAGGCAGGTGGATCTCTGTGAGTTCGAGGCCAGGCTGAACCAACAGCCTCCAAAACAATACAGAGAGAGAAACCGGTTTCTGTCTCGTAAAACCAAAAAAAAAAAAAAAAAAAAAAAAGACTACAGCTCAAGGCGGTGCCCCAAAGACACACTTGGGGTCAATGAACCCCTTTTCCATACTTTTCAATGTGACCAACAGCCATGTTGATGGAATCTGTCTCTGCCAGTCACTGTTGCCTCTCTAAATGGAATATTGGGGTATGGAGGAGCCTGTTCTGTGGGGATCCCAGGACTTGGGCTTTGGGGCTAAACGTCTAATAACAAGGCCACTCAGAAACCATGTAAGAAAGAAAAACAGCCAGGTGGCACCCCATGCCTGCTTTATTTGCACACCTCTTAGCACACATCTCCACAGCAGGACCATTCGCTTCTAAATTCAACAAGCAATGCAAATAGCTTGGGGATTGTGCTGGATGCATGAAATAATCTAAAATGGGAAAAAGTTATGAGGATGAATGGGGAGGGACAGACACACAGAGACAGGATGATAACCTGCAGACCACACTGAGGCTGACAGTGTGGTGGTGGTCAAGCCACAGAGGAAAAGCCCTCGAAAAGTAATCTAAGTGCTATGGTTAGAGTTGATGGTGTGGGCTGTCTGCAGTTTTTCATAATAACAAGGTCAAGGGCACAGCTCTGGCGGTGGGATGGAAGAGGAAGTCTTTAGAAGAAGGATAAAGAAATGAAAGATCAGAGGGTCATACAGGGTCATCCACATGGGACTGACATCCTGAAGAATGAAAACAGGGCTTGGAGTCAGAAGTGGCAAGGAAGAAACTTGTCTTCAAGGACAGGAGCAGGCGGGGTGATCTCAGCATAGCCCAAAGGGGTGCTGTGACAGTCTGATGACTTGGTAGGATTAGGCAGGAAGCAGCAAGAGGAGAAAGGGCTACCACCCACACCAGACAATGGGTCCAAGACAGAGTCCAGCCCCTAATACAGAGGGTACGAATCCAAGGGTCTCATAGGGACAAGCACCAGGAGACAGACGGTGGGTCAGTGGTGAGGCCAGAGTTTATCAGCCACAAGCTGCCAAGGGGGATTGGGAAGGGAGCTGTCCTCTACCATGGTGACTTTTCTCTTCTTCTCAACCACATCCCTGGGGCTGTCACACAGAAGCTTCCTCCCTGCCTCTCTGTCAGTCTCACGATGTCATGTCCCTGGAAGTCTGAAGCAGAGCCAAGTGAAGCAACAGCAAGCCACAAAGCTGTGTGGAGGCAAGCTATCAGACAGCGGCATGACAGAGCGATATGGTAACATGGCAGCAAAGATGGTCCCATTCACACCAGCCTCCAGTGGGAAACTGAGAGCACCAGCAGCTCAGGTATCTTGATGGTGCAGAGCACAAAGCACTCCCGGGGTGGATTCTCTACTTGTGATGTCAATGTCTATGATGGAAAAAAGAGCACGGCTACTGGGCATCTCCTAGCTGCTGGGCCCTGTGCTTAGACAGGCATTTCCCATTGTACCTGACAATGCCCGGTTTAAAGATATGAAGAAGGAAGCTCCGGGTAGCAAAATGATCCCCACCTCTTCATCCATCTTAGAAAGCCTATGCACAGAGATCTTTCTAGTCATTAATTTCCCAGATGTGGAGAACTATATCACATCTAAACCAGTGTTTATATAGATAATCATACAGGGGATGATTAAGAATCTACCTATTTACAGCCACAGTGTAAATAACACAGCCTTAGGAGTAACCCAATTTGGGACCTATCTTCTGCAAATATGAAGAAATAATGTTTTTTCCCACTATCTATGAAAAAGAATAGTTAGCATAATTCTCAACCTTAGTCATATTAGTCATTGGCACATGAAATGTGAGCTAAGCCTGCCATTTATAAGCCATGTTCTTCAAACTGACCCTTAAATTTTCATTGAGACTATCAAGAAGGAAGGGAAAGTTCAGCATTAGAGCTGGCCCGGAGCCTGCCATATTGCCAGAAGCTCACAGCGGGCTATGTCAAAATTGGCAAGGATTAATATTTTTAAATGCCCAGGACTGAATGTTTTCTAAGTGAAAATTTAGTTATGGATGACTTCCTGAACATGACTGAATGATGTCTACAAAGCTAGAAAACTGTGCTCAGGAGGAAAGTCACTAATGAGATTTCCCCTGTGCTGCAGCAATTACTCTGCCTCCTAGGATACTCCAGGAAGCAAGCTTTTCGTCAACGCTGCATTTTTCTAATTCAATTTATATATTTTCCTCCTGTAGTCCATTGTAAACACGCAGGGGTAAGGAGATAAAAGCACGGCATGGCTGAACCTGAACCTGAACAGCTAGAAGAAAACAGCCTGACTGGAGACTGAGGATGGGCAACAAGTTGGGTGGTCAACCAGTGTGGTGACACATCCCTCTGTTGGGTCTACAAGCCTCTCAGTAACAGCCTTGATCCTGAAGCACAGCCTTTAAGAATGGATGTATATCAAGTGACCCTGTATGTGAGCAGGGCCTTGATCCTCCCACAGCCTCTATTTCTGGCACATGCGTGTGCACTCATTCACACAAATACATGCGCATGTGCATGCACACACTCACGCACACGCACGTGCACACACAAGGATTTTCTGCTTCACACTGTGACATTACTTAGTCTCTGGGTGTATTAACAACTGATGCTATACATGCACAGGACTGTTTCTCAGTGTGTAGCACTGTGACATTGCTTAGTCTCCCCGGGTGTATTAACAATTGATGCTATGCATGCACGGGACTGTTTCTCAGTGTGTAGCACTGTGAATTGCTTAGTCTCTCCGGTGTATTAACAACTGATGTTCTATGCATGCACAGGACTGTTTCTCAGTGTGTAGCACTGGTCCTCTACCTTCACTCTCGTCTGGGTGTTTGCTATGGTTTGAATGTGGTTTGTCCCCACCATGTTGAGAGATGGTCCCCAACATGGCAGCGCCAGTAGGCGTTACCTTAAACGGTGATTAACAGACACTTGACTATTTCTGTAGCAGTGAACCAACTAGAATTAGTCACCCTAAGAGTGGACTGGTACAAAGTAGGTCAGCCTCCCTGCCTCTGCTATTTTTCTTGTTGCTGTCACAAGATAGCTGACCAACCCAAGTTGAGGGAGGGAGGGAGGAAAGGAGGGAGGGAGGGAGGGAGGGAGGGAGGGAGGGAGGGAGAGAGGCAGGGTGGGAGGCAGGGAGGGAGGCAGGGAGGGAGGGAGATTGTCTTGGCTAATAGTTTGAGGGTGCAGTCCATCGTGGGGGAAGGCTGTGGCAGCAGGAATGTGAGGAAACTGCTCACACTGCATCTGCAGTCAGGGAGAAGAAAGATGAATGCTGCTGCCTGGCTCCCCTTCTCCTTTTTACTCGGTCTAGAACCCCAAGCCATGGCCTGGCGCTGCCCACATCTAGGACAGTTTTGTTCACATGTAAGGTAGGTTTTCCCACCTCACTTAACCCAATCTAGAAACTCCCTTGTAGATATGCCCAAAGATGTTTTCGCTTGGTGATTCTAAATCCAGTTGAAATCTGACATCAACCATTGCTGATCAACCTATCTCCCCCCCCACCCTCTTTTCTCCCCCTCTCTCATCTATGTGCTTTTCTACCCATGCCTACTTTCCACAGTGAGTTGACACAGCGTGAAGTCTACACCAGAAGCTGAGCAGACGCTACACCACACCCTTTGACCTCTAGAACTGAGCTAAATAAACATCTTTTCTTTATAAATTTCCCAGCCTCAGATAGTGTGCTATAGCAACACAAAATGGGCTTGCTAGGACACAACGAATGTAAAATCCTGGTCTCCACCTCAGACCTGACGACTCAAACGCATGATGTGAGAGTTTAGAAATCATTCGTACTGAGAATAACTTGGTCTTCGGGAGTGAGAGTCAGATACTGTGAGTCTCTGCCTCCCTGTGGACCCCACTTGGTACAACGGAATTACATCTTTCAGAGCTTGAAACACATGCTCATCTGGTGCTATGAGTCTTTGGAGACTCTGGTTTTGTGTTTACTGAAAATCCACTATATACTGGCAGGTGCTCTCTGGAGTAATGCATCTTCAAGATGCTTGAAATTCAAGAGGACTACAGAGGTGCATGGTTCTTTACATACTCACGGCACTTTCTCCCTTCTATTCAACATGGGAGAACAAAGAGCCTCTCCTCTGGCATAACAGTGAACAATCCAGGCACGTATAAGACTTGAACTTCTATTGGCACAACTGGTGGCTTGGGTATAATTCACTTATATTTGCTGTTATAGCTTAGAAACTGGAGCGTGTCTCCAAAAGTGTCTGTGGTATAGGTCCCCAGTGTGGCAGTGCTGCGTGGTGGGAAAGCTCTAGGGCATAAGGTCTATGGAAGATCCTGGGGTACGGCTGATGACAGGAAGTGAGGCTGGTCTCACAGCATGAGATCTTGTTAGAACGGACTGCTGCATGGCTGCATGATGAAGTCATCAACACATCAGACTTCTGACCATGGCTATTTCTCTTTCTGCTCCTCTGTGACACAGCTAGGAGCTAGGGAACTGCACCGGAGCCACCTACCTGGTTTTAGGCCTCCAAAAGTGTGAGCTAAGTATAAGCTTTTCTTCATGCACCTAACATCAGGCATTCTGTTTTGGCCACTCAGAACAGACTAAGTAAGACATGTAGAAGCTATGTCCAGGCTTTGACTACTCTCATGGGCACCATTTAGAGAAGGTGGGAAGTGAAGGGACATCTATTTCATGGAAACCCTAGATGATATCCTCCTCTGCCACCTTTCAATGTGGTCTTTCCCTTGGCTTCTGATCTGAGAGAGGCTTTACTCCTCTGGCCCCAGGCAACAAGAGAAGACCCATAGTCCCACCAGCTTCCACCTACCGCACTGGTCTGCACAGACTCGTCTTCTGGTTTGGCTTTTATATCAACAACTCCATCAGCATGGCGGAAGGAGCAGTTGGCGAGGACATCATAAAAGGTCAGTTTCTGAGCTTTCAAGCCATATTTCTGGAGCCACTTCTGAGAATCCCAGGTGTCTTCTGAATTTTCCTTATTCTCAACAGACACTGCTCCTGGAACCACAGTTCATCAGCCACTTATATTGCATGACCAGTTCTTAACACTCCCAACCTCGTATTTACCAGTCTGGAACATTTCTGCTGCTAGACTATAGAGCCCACGTGTCTCCTCAGGAAATACACTACAGCAGGACTCTTACTTTTTACCTCATTTCTTCCTCTACGTGTGTGGTCTGGCCTCACATCAGAATGGCTCTGGCTGAGAGATCAGGGTCATGTGTCAGGAAAGCATTGAATACAGGATCAGAAGCTATGGGTTCAAGCCTGGGCTGTGCCATCTGCTATCTTAGGCAAATGGCTCCAATGTGATCCACCCATTTGGCCATTCTGAGCTCAAGCAAATATCTTTACCTGCAGATGGAAGATGGTATCTGCCTGGCCTTCTTGGAGAGAATCTGATTTTGTATTTATTGGAAATGTATTCTACGCTTCCAGGTCATTGAAATAATGCATTCACTCTACTCAGTATGGGGGAAGGGTGGGCTTTCTTTTGACACACTGTTAACTAATCCAGGGACTCCTAATGCCTGAATTTCTATAGACCCAGCTCATGGCTTAGACAAGTGATATGACTTAGAAATGTTGTGAGACTGAACCCAAAACGTGGTAGATATTTGGTTCCCAATATGGCAACAGGGCCCAAATGAGTATGGCTTCTAATAGAGTTTAGAAACCACTGATACTGAGAACTGCCTAACAACGTGCATGGCAGCCAGGATCTGAGATGTAGACCAAGATTTTGCATCAGTGTGTCTTAGTTCATTTTGTGTTGCTGCAGCAAACAGCATTCAGTGAATCTGGTCACATGAATGTGCTTTGGGACAGGGGGTTAAAAGGAGGAGGTCCATGCAGCCTGTAGACAGGCAAGGTCACACAACATACCAACATGGGAGGGTACCTTCCATGAGCTCCCTTGCCCCTTTGGTAAAGTTAATCCCTGTTTAGAGTGTGGCCCTGGGCTCTGAGGGCTCAGAAACCTCATCAGTCAGCTGAGGTGTCTGTAGTTATATCTAAGATGTCTCATCTCATCTTACAGGTTACAGATCAGAAGGCTAGCCATCTACCAGCTTTAGGCATAAAGACTGTTTCAAGGACCGCACAGTGAGTACCTTAATCAGAGGCTGCTCAAACTCCTTGTGATGATGCAGTGTAGCTCAAAACCTACATCCTTGCTCCTGTACACTTCAGGTCATCTCTAGATCACGTATAACGCCCAGCACAAGGCAACGCTTACAAACATGCTAACTGTACTGTTGAAGGAACGGTGACAGAAAACCTGCACATTGCTGGTACAGCTGGCTTTTTCTTCTTCTTAAATATTTTTATTCATAGTCAGTCAGGGCCTGAGACTACAAGGCACCGACTGTCATTAAAAGTTGCTCCCAGAGTTTGTCCTGCTTTGCTTTCTGTTGCTATAACAAAACACTGGACTAACTGAAAGGGTTTATGTCAGCTTATCATTTACAGTCCGTCATCTAGAGAAACCAAAGCAGGAACTTAAGGCAGGAAGTGAAGCAGAAGCCATGGAGGAATGTTGCTTCGAAGACACGCTCACCTTGCTTTCTTAAACAACCCAGGATCATCTGCTTAGGGGGTGGCCCGGCCCACAGTGGGCTGGACCCTCCCACATCAATCATTAATCAAGAAAATGCCCCACAGACAAGCCCAAGGGCAGATCTGATAGCAGCAATTCCTTATTTGAGGTTCCCCTTTCCCAAGTGACTATAGTTTGTATCCAGTTGACAAAACGTAGTCAACATGGGGTTAGAGAGATGGCTCAGTGGTTAATAGCATGCACTGCTCTTACAGAGGGCCAAATTTGTGGTTCCAGTAGCTGCATTGGGCAGGTAGCATCTGCCTGTAACTCCAGCTCTGAAGAATCCAATGTCCTCTATGACCTTTGACACCTACACACACACCACACACCACACACACACACACACACACACACATATTTAGAGATTTATTTTTGTCTTAATAAAAATAAATAGCTAAACAAAAGATTAAATTACTTTCAGGCATTCCACATTTAAGAGTTTATATAATTAGAATAGGACTTGGGGAAATGAGATAGCTCGCAGCCAACTAGTTCTCGATAACATGTAAAGGGGCTACCCATGAGTGAGTCAGATGAGCCAGGTCCTCAGATTTCAATACAATGCCTTGACAGAACTCACTCTGAAACCTACTAGCATTGGAACTGATCAAAGATGGTTTCTGCTTTCAAACTTTCAGCCAGCGTGGCACCAAAAGCCCTTCTGAGCACCATCCTGAATGCCAGCAGTTGGCTTCTGCATAAACCAGTGTCCTCCTACCCTTCTCAAGGAATTCAGTCAGATGCCTCCCAGAACACCAGCCCCCTGAGCTTCCCTGGAGGGCTCCTGGTACCACTGAAAGCAGATGAAAGATGTGGCTGTTTCTTGTGGGGAGATCAGCCTCCTTGGAGAAGCCTTCCACTGACTTCTTCAGTCGTTGTTAATTACTCTCTTCTTTATTTCCTCCTTGTATAGCTGCTTCCTTTTTTCCTTTTCTCTGTTCAGTCGGAGTAATGGGAAATAAAATTTTCATTCAATGGTTTCTGTAGCAACATGTAACCGTTCACTCTGTTTCGGGGGGATGAAGGCCCTTCATCAAGCATTAAGTTCAAACTCAGAAGAAAAAGAACTTTCTGAAAGCCATACAAACCAGTCCTAGAAAGGGTTTTTCAAGAGTCGAAGATGAACCTTCACCTTCCAGCATCATGCAGGCCCAAGGGTGCCGCTGCTTAAGGGCAGGAGTCAGGCTCCCAATTATCATCAGAAAGGGAGCAAAGATGCCTTCCAATCTGAGCTTCATAAAGGAAATCAGAGGCAGTCAAACAATCAAAGCAGAGAGCTCAGGCGTTCCAGAGCTGGAGAAATGAGGGGAAAGTGAAGTGCTTTTCATACTCATTCACTGCTAATTACACCAATTAGTGGCTGAGCCTCGTTAGCCTGAGGTGGGTAAGGGCATCGTCTGTTCATTAGCATCACTCACTAAGGGATCCTCTCCCAATTCTCCTGCAGTTACTTTAATTAAGAGTGCCGTACGAATTCTCCCCTTCCGAGCCTTTGCATACTGCAGAGGTGTGAGCTCACAGTGATGCTGAACACACGGGCCTCCTCATCCGCATGGCAGATTGCTAAAGACGTTCTTGAAGTTCTGCACAAGGGAAGCAGACCGTGGAGCGCATCCACGCTGCAGAATTTACTTGCCTGGTCCTCTCTATCCTACTGATCCATCTCAAAACATTTTTTTTCAGGCAGGAAGCCATACTGAATAATGCTTTAGAAAACCATCACGGTATAACCCAGGACTCAATCAAAATGATATTGAGTATGGCTTACCAGGACTCATCCCCTGCTTCTGACTCTCATACACCTACCCTCAGAATCAGATGCTTAAGGATTTACCCCCCCCTATACCGCACCCTCTATCCTCCTCCACTGAAAGCTATTCAACTGCCATATCATCCCTGCTATGCTAGTTCCCTGTACTGTCAGTGAATGAATGCATTCCGTTTCTAGAGATAGCGTCAATCTGATGATTCTGCAGAGAACTCCACATGCTCTGCCCCCCACTGAGTGCCAATCGCTGCTACTCAGAAAGAGGGCTCCTTAGACAAAGAGCTGAGGAGCCCAAAAACCTTGGGGATTATTGATGACTTCATTTTAAGTGTTTTTTTTTTTTTTTCCAGAGCATGGGCAAGTAGTCTCTCCACAAACAAGATTCCCAATCCTACTGTTTGGTTTCTGAAGCTATTTAGTTCCAGAGTCTTTCTGTCCAGATTATGGAGGGCGTGTAGCCTACACATCAGAGCCTGAAACACACTGGAAGGGAGGGAGGGAAGAGAGAGGGAGGGGTCAGAATTGAGGGCAGCTGGGAACAGAAGGAGATGAACAGCAACTCTAAGGAGTTCCAGTCCCTCCTGCTGGGTGACTCCCTAGGAAGAGAAGAGCTGCAGTCCTGTGGTTCCTCTGAAGGTGATGCCTGCTCTGGGTGGGAGCCCGGGGATGGGTGGTGACTGTGTATGGCATGAGCCAGAGGTCCACTTTTGTGCAGTTGCACACATCTCTGTGCTCGTCTGGTATCTGTTATGCACACCTGCTAAAGCACTGGATGCCGAACGCATTGAACGCATGTGCTCAGGGCCTCACAGGTACCAGCAGGGAGGATGGAGATGGAGGACAGAAACCCATTGTTCAACAGATGCTTCTCGGCAAAGATGAAGGAAAATAGCCTTAGTGTCCTAGGTACTAGGCATGAGGGTTGAGGCCCGATGGGATGCACCAAGGGGCCTAGTGTCGAATGTCAAATGTGTTCCTGAGTCCAAGCAGGAAGCTCTAGACTCTGCTCCAAAAGGGTTATCAGGTAACTTTCAGAAGCCTGTTAGAATTTGAAACCCTTACCTTCAAGGGAGAATGAAGTGGAGTCCCAGGGAGCTTTAGGCCTGTTCTCCCCTGGAATACTGTGAAGTGATTGTATTTATTTATTTAATTTTTACTTCCCTCTTGTTAAATCTGTAAAAATCAAAGTTTGGTTTTCATTGTAATGAAGGGCTCTGTCGCTCACCCGATTTGTTTATTCCAATCCTCGGGTCACTAGCTCCCAGAATCCTCTGAGGGTGGAAAAGAAAGGGAGAGAAAGGAAATGAGGCAGAAAAGACCCAGGTTAAAAAGAAAGCACAGTACTAACAACGGAGAGAACACGGAGGAGGAACAAGAGTCCTTTGGTGCCCACTTCTCTGCTGTCTCTTCTCCATCACTATGAGAGATGCACTGGAAATGGCTCTCATTGCTGGCAGCATCTCAGCTGTGAGTGGGGCAGCTTCAGGAGGACGCTAAACCATAACACCCGCCCAGACTGCTCAGTGTTGGGGAGCAATAGTTCAGTCCAGTGACAAACCCACACACAGACAAGGAGAAAACATTACCAGGAGCTCAGACTACAGGAGAAGAATCACAGAGGCATGCTCA